TGGTGTGGTTATTTTGCTTGATTATTTTTTCTTTCCATTTATTTATTTATTTATTTATTTATTTATTTATTTATTTATTTATTTATTTATTTATGATAGTCACACAGAGAGAGAGAGAGAGAGAGAGAGAGAGAGGCAGAGACACAGGCAGAGGGAGAAGCAGGCTCCATGCACCGGGAGCCCGACATAGGATTCTATCCCAGGTCTCCAGGATCGCTCCCTGGGCCAAAGGCAGGCGCCAAACCACTGCGCCACCCAGGGATCCCTCCTTTTAAAAAATCTAAAAAATAAAGCATTTTTTGAAGAAAAATAACTCTGAAGTGAGCTGGCCATTATTCCCTATGTGGAAGCACAGATAAGATTCTATTTCTTTTCTTTCTTTCTTCTTTTTTTTTTTAAAGATTTTATTTATTTATTCAGGAGAGACACACACACACAGAGAGAGAGAGAGAGAGAGAGAGAGAGAGAGAAAGGCAGAGGGAGAAGCAGGCCCCATGCAGGGAGCCCGATGTGGCACTTGATCCCGGGTCTCCAGGATCATGCCCTTGGACCAAAGGCAGGCACTAAGCCGCTGAGCCATCCAGGGATCCCCTCTTTCTTTCTTTCAAGATTTTATTTATTTATTCATGAGAGACACACAAAGAGAGAGGCAGAGACATAGGTAGAGGGAGAAGCAGTCTCCATGCAGGAAGCTTGATGTGGGACTCAATCCCAGGACTCCAGGATCACACCCTAAGCCAAAGGCAGATGCTCAACGGATGAGCCACCCAGGCATCCCTCTTTTCTTTTTTTTAAAAAAGATTTTTTTTTATTTATTAGTGAGAGATACAGGCAGAGGGAGAAGCAAACTCCCTGCAGGGATCCTGATGCAGGACTTGATCCCAGGACTCCAGGATCACAACCTGAGCTCAAGGCAGACACTCAACCACTCAGCCACCCAGGCGTCCCAATAAGATTCTATTTCTTTAAAAATAGGGCAATGAGGAACCATTACAAACTATTCTGCACATCCTTTTTCTCCCCAGTTAGAAAATGTGATAGGCAGCTTTCCGTTTTACAACATAGGATGACTTCATTTCTTTCTTTCTTTCTTTCTTTCTTTCTTTCTTTCTTTCTTTCTTTCTTTCTTTCTTTCTTTCTTTTTTTTTAATTTTTTTTAACTTTTATTTATTTATGATAGTCACAGAGAGAGAGAGAGAGAGAGAGAGAGAGAGAGAGAGAGAGGCAGAGACACAGGCAGAGGGAGAAGCAGGCTCTATGCACCGGGAGCCCGACGTGGGATTCGATCCCGGGTCTCCAGGATCGTGCCCTGGGCCAAAGGCAGGCGCCAAACCGCTGCGCCACCCAGGGATCCCTCTTTCTTTTTTTTTTTACTTCATCTTTTTCAGTGGCTGTAGAGAATTCACATTATTATCATCTACAGATTTTGCATACATCACTATATTACCTACAGTTAGATATAGATAAACCTTTTTAAGTTAGGTTGTGTGTTAATTAGGGGTGCCTGGATGGCGCAGTTGGTTAAGCATCTAACTCTTTGGTTTCGGCTCAGGTCATGATCTTAGGATCATGGAATCGAGCCCCCACTTTGGGCTCTGAGCTCAGTTGGGAACCTTTCTGAGAATCTCTCTCTCCCTCTGCCCCCCCCCCATGTCCTCACTCTCTCTCTAAAATAAATAAATAAGTCTTTTAAAAAAAAACCCATGCATGTATTATCTCACAGTTTCTGTGAATCAGGAATTTGGAAGTAGCATAGCTAGATGTTCTGGCTCAGGGTCTCCCATGAAGGTGCAATCTGGATGACTACAAGGAAAAAAAAAATTGGGCAAGCCGGGAGGGAGCATTGCAGCAGATAGAGCTGCAGGGATTTGAGCTCTGAGGTTGTGAAACTTTTATGGGATCCAGTACAGAGCCAGGATATGGGTCGCAAGATTCATTGTGAAGGGGGCAGGAAAAAGTCCCTTCCACAGTGTTGTAATTCACACTGTTTTGGGGCAGGGGGCAGTTTTTGAAATCTGGTGACCACAAGGTCATCACTGCCTTCCTTGCTTGTAGGGAAGGGAAGCTTTCAGATCAGCAATTTATGGGGAAAACGAATGTCTGCAGGTGTGTGTGTGTGTGCGTGCACACGCGCATAAGGAAATGGCATGGAAGGAGTGCTGGCCATATATCCATAAGATTGGAAGGGAAGTACTAGGCAGGTCCTTTTAATTAAATAAAATAATAAAATAATCTTTAAATAAATAAAATCTTTAAATAGCCTTTCTATTTTGGAATTAGATTAGATTTACAGAAAAGTTGCAAAGATATTGCAGAGAGTTCTCATGGGCCCCACATGCAGATTCCCCCAATGCTAACATCTTATAGACCATGGTATATTTGCCAAAACTAAGAGTTTAATGTTGGCATATTACTATTAACTCTAGACTTTGTTTGGATTTCGCCAGCTTTTCCCTTTCCTCTTCTAGGACCCAGTCCAGAATTCCACTTTGCATCTGGCCCTAAAGTCTTTCATCAGTCTTAACTAGTTGCTCTCCAAACTCTTTGAATTACATACCTCCACTGGTAAAACAAAACAAAACACACTGAGTATGTTCTCCCCAATATAAATTTTCATTATATACCACTATTACTGGTATGATATGACTCCATAGAAAAGCAGAGATGTTGAACAGGATAAGCTTAAAAATACGTAGCACTTCTTTTTTTTTAAGATTTTATTTATTGGGCTGCCCAATAAAGTAATTATCTTTGTGCAAAATAAGGTAATGATTAAATTTTGTACAAACCATTAAACTATTCTTTTGGTTATGGCTAACATTCAAAATTGATTAATAAAAGGAAAAACAGAGGTGCCCAAGTGGCTCAGCAGATTAAGGTTCTAACTCTTGCTTTTGGCTCAGGTCACAGTCTCTGGGTTGTGGGATCGAGTCCTGAATTGCTTGGTGGAATCAGCTTGGGATTCTCTCCCTCTCTCTTTCTCTCCCCCTCTACTCCTTCCCCTGCTCTGTCTCTCAGATAAAATGAATGAAATCTTAAAAAAGAAGAAAAAGAAAAACGATCTTTCTTTAAAGATTTTATTTATTTGTTTGAGAGAGAGAATGAGATGGGTGAGAGTCAGATAGAGAGGGAGACTCTGCTGAGTGGGGAGCCCAACACAGGGCTTGATCCCAGGACCCTGAGATCATGACCTGAGCTAAAGGTAGTGCTTAACTGACTGAGCCACCCAGGCACCGCAAAAACAATCTTCTTACAAGAATAGTGGAACTTATAATAAATATAGCCAACATTCAAAACTTATATTTTACATACTATTTGCCTACAGAACATCTGAGTCAATAGGAAAATCCTGCCAGCTTCGATTTTTATTTTTTGGTCTTATTTATTCATATTTTTTGGTCTTTTTTTTTATGATAGAGAGAGAGAGAGAGAGAGAGGCAGAGACACAGGCAGAGGGAGAAGCAGGCTCCATGCATCAGGAGCCCGACGTGGGATTCGATCCCGGGTCACCAGGATCACGCCCTGGGCCAAAGGCAGGCGCTAAACTGCTGCGCCACCCAGGGATCCCCTATTTTTTGGTCTTTTTTATTTATTCATAAAACATGATGAGATAAGCCACATCATAATTTGGGCCACATTGTTTTCATTTACATAGGGCATCCAAGTTTATACTTAGAGATTAAAAGATTTTTTTTTAATTACCGGGTCTCACTAATAATAATAGTTTGCTTTGATTCTAGTTCACATAGAATTGTGCATTCCAAATCAATGATCAATTGATTGAGGGATGCCTAGTGACTCAGTGGATAAGCATCTGCCTTTGGCTCAGGGCATGATCCTGGAGTTCCAGGATCGAGTCCCACATCGGGCTCCCTGTATGGAGCCTGCTTCTCCCTCTGCCTGTGTCTCTGCCCTTTCTGTGTCTCTCATGAATAAATAAATAAAATCTTTTTAAAAATTATCGATTGATAATGAAGTTAATCAATAATGGTCAACGTTGAGATCTCTTTTCCAAAATGCAAAAATCAATGTATTTTAGGAAATTTCCCCAAAATGTACTTGTCCTCTTTTTTTTTTTTTAAGATTTATTTATCCATGAGAGAGACAGAGAGGCAGAGACACAGGCAAAGGAAGAAGCAGGCTCCATGCAGGGAGCCTGATATAGGACTCCATCCCCTGACTCCAAGATCATACCCTGGGCGGAAGGCAGGCACTCAACCGGGGATCCCCAACTTGTCTTCATTTTTATCTAAAAATCTGAGTCTTTTTTTTTAAGTTTTTATTTATTCATGAGAGACGAGAGAGGCAGAGACACAGGCAGAGGGAGAAGCAGGCTCCATGCAGGGAGCCCAATGTGAGACTCGATCCTGGGACTCCAGGATCACGCCCTGGGCTGAAGGCAGGCGCTAAACCACTGAGCCACCCAGGGATCCCCAGTTTTTGCTTTTCTAGAAAAAAGTTTCTCTTACTATAGATTTGCTATGTCTCTGTTCCATTGTTTTTTATCTGACCTTCCAATATCTGATTATTTTTGCTGCAGCATCTCTGTTCTCTAGCATCCACATTCATCATTTCTCACAATTTTTATCTCCATACTTCCTCCCTACCTACTGGAGACGGCCCCTCATTTTTCCTTGATTTCACACTGTCAATTTTCCTCATTACTATCACCAACACAGGTTTGTAATATGCTAAATCATTTAAATCATTTTCTTTATTCACATGCAAGGAACTTACACTGTTTTGTTTCCTACCTTAGTGGGTCCATACATTGGACTCAACAATTATTATGTCAAGTTTTACATGTTCTAGATCTAGTCTTTGCATCCTCTGCTACACTTTTAGTTCATGAAATTTATTGGGTGTGTTTTACTTCCTGGGAACGATTAGATTCTATTTCTAGTTCATTCTGCAGCTGGCAGGAAATAGAAACACTCAGGTGGTGGTGTCAGTTTCTGATTCTGGCGCTGAATGGTCCTTCCTCTTCCCTTCTCTCTCAGTGGAAGACAAATGCGGGAGAAATGAGTTCCAGTGCCAAGATGGGAAGTGCATCTCCTACAAGTGGGTTTGTGACGGGAGGGCCGAGTGCCTGGATGCCTCAGATGAGTCCCAGGAGACCTGCAGTGAGTCCTCTTTGGGTGTAACACACTTCTTACCCTCTTTGATGATAGTGGGTGACAGACGAAGTGGACATCAGCCAGCAGATTCATGTGTTGAACCATGAATTGGGACTTGGGGGAGGAGATGTTTCTGAACTTTAAGGCTTTTTTTTTTTTTTAACGAGGTGAAATTCACATAATGTAAAATTAACCTTTTTTTTATTTTTTTAATTTTTTAAAGAATTTTATTTATTTTTGCATAAGAGACATAGAGAGAGTCAGAGACACAAGCAGGCTCCATGTAGGGAGCCTGACATGGGACTCGATCCTGGGTCTCCAGGATCCCACCCTGGGCTGTAGGCGGTGCTAAACCGCTGAGCCACCAGGGCTGCCCAAATTAACCATTTTAAAGTGACCAGTTCAGTAGTATTAATACGGTTATGATGCTATGCCATTATCACCTCTCTCTCCTTCCAAACCTTTCCACTGCTTCATGTCTGATGTTTTTTTTAAACAAGTTCCATTAGATGTCCTTCATTTTGACCCAGAAAGGTGGGCTTGGCACCTTCTTTCTGAAAACTGTGTTTTTCCTCTGCAAACCTGGGGCTGGGAGGCAGATTGGGCTTCCCTCTGAGCAAACGCTCAGTTCTGTTTCTCCCACAGTGTCTGTCACCTGCAAGTCGGGAGACTTCAATTGTGGGGGCCGTGTCAACCGCTGCATCCCTCAGTTCTGGAGATGTGATGGCCAGATGGACTGTGAGAATGGCTCAGACGAGCAAGGCTGTCGTAAGTGTGCTCCCTCCCCCTGCAGCCCTGTGAGGGTCCCACTGGTTCCCCCAGGCAGTCCTGCCCCAGCTGAGCTGCAGATTGGGGCTCTTCAGTTGGGTCCATCTCCTGGAAGCTTCTACCAAGCCCTCTTGCACTGTTTGAACCCCACCTTGCCCAGGAGGCATTGCAGGGGATACTGATGGTATCACTTCTTGGGGTCATCAGCATACTCAATGAGGCTGTCCTTGTCAAGTGTCCTGCCACCCACATGGCACAGGATCTGTTGAGCCCCTGTGACCACCACCACCAGCCACCCTGGGAGGCCAAGCACACAGTAGGTGCTTGCTGGCCAAGACCTGACCCCTCAGCTAACCTGAGAAGAAGGAAGCTTCACCAAGTTGCAGGGTTCTGGGAAGAAACAGGGTCAAGAGTCCTGGAGGGGGAGGCACGTTAGAGAGCTGGGCGTCTGTCTTGGCTCTTCAATGCTAGTTAATTAGTTATCGAAATGAGTGGTTTGGTTTGGTTATCCTAATAGGGTAAGTCTCTGAGAAAAATAAGTGGGAAAAATTTAAATAACTAAGATAATGTCAGATCTGCAAGTTTGGAAAATATAAAGCTCCATGATATTAAAAAAAAAAAAAAACAACACATGAGTTTCACATACATTCACTTTAGAAATGCATGTCTAACCTGGATTAATGGTCATCTGATGAAATACCCCCTCAGGGAATATTTGCAAATAAAATGGATTGTTATTCTTCTTCCAGGTACATTTTTTTCCTTCCAGCTTTATTGCAATATACTTGGCATACAACATTATGTAAGTTTAAAGAGTAGGTGGGGGAAAATTAATTAATTTTTTAAAACTTTTTTTTTTTACAAAAAACAAATTTTTTAAAAGTTGCCAATTTCTTTTTATTTTTTCTTCCTACAGATTTTATTTATTTATTTGAGAGAGTGGGTGGGAGGGAAAAGGAGGAAGAATCTGAAGCAGATGCGATGTGCTGAGTGCAGAGCCCAGTACAGGGCTCAATCCCACCACCACAAGATCGTGACCTGAGCCAAAATCAAGGGTCAGACACTCAGCTGCTCAACTAACTGAGCCACCCAGGCGCCCACACCCCTTTGTAAAATTTTTTGGGTGGAGGTGGCACCAGGGTAACTCCGTTGAGCGTCCTACTCTTGGTTTCTGCTCAGGATTGTGAGATCGAGCCCCAAGTCAGGCTGTGCTGATTGTAGAGCCTGCTTAAGATTCTCTCTCTCTTTCTCCCTCTCCCTCTGCCCCTCTCACCTACCTCGTGTGTATGCTTTCTCTCTCTAAAAACATAAAGAGTAGGTGATGATTTGTTACACATACATATTGCAAAATAATTACCCCTGTAGTATTAACTAACATCTCCATCACATCACATGAACCACATTTTTGTGGGTGGCTCTTTTAATAATAACAGCAAACTTTTTTTTTTTAAGGTTTTATTTATTTATTAGAGAGAGAGAGCACAAGCAGGCAGACAGAGAGAGAGAGAAGCAGGCTCCCTGCCAAGCAAGGACCCTGATATGGGGCTTGATCCCTAGACTCTGGGATCATGACCTGAGCCAAAAGCAGATGCTTAACTGACTGAGCCACCCAAGTGCACTAATAATAACAGCAAACTCTTAAATAGTGCTTCCCCTGCCTGGGCCCATGTACAGATGAGGAAACTGAGGCACAGAGGGGCCACAGGAGCAGGCTGGGGACACTCACCTTGCCCGGGGTTCCCTATCCAGGGCCCCTGACCACTATCCTGGCTTCTCCAGGGTCTCTCACTGGGATCCGGCCTCTCCGAGGCTCCGTGTCTTCATCTTTGGAATGGGCTGCTAGTGAGAAGTGAGGGCTCTCTGGTGACCAGGTTCTTTTCCCATCAATCCCTGCAGCGCCCAAGACATGTGCCCCGGATGAGTTCCGCTGCCAGGATGGAAAGTGCATTGCCCCGGAATTCGTCTGCGATTCAGACCAGGACTGTTTGGACGGGTCCGATGAGGCATCCTGCCACATACCCACATGTGGCCCATTGCACTTCCAGTGCAATAACTCTGCCTGCATCCCTGAGCTGTGGGCTTGTGACGGCGACCCAGACTGCAAGGACGGCTCAGATGAGTGGCCACAGCACTGTGGGGGCCGCAACACATCAGCCCCCCAAGGGGACGACAACCCTTGCTCTGCCCTTGAATTTCACTGCCAGAGCGGCGAGTGTATCCATTCCAGCTGGCGCTGTGACGGTGGCCCTGATTGCAAGGACAAGTCTGATGAAGAGAACTGTGGTAAGGGCATTGTGCATGGGTCCTCTCCCCTGTCCCAGCTATGGGACAGGTCGGCCTTTCAGGACTTAAACGATTTCAAGCCACACATCAAGAACTTCAGTCTCATTTCATGTCTCTTCTAGTGTTACTGATCACATGGAAGAGAAAGCCTCCCTTAAAAGGAGACCCTGTCTTTTATGCTTGTATAATTAATCTCTCTTAATTAATTAACTACTTATTTATATGACAAAGAGGAAAAAGAGGGGAAGCAGCAGAGGGGGAGAGAGAGGGAGAAGCAGACTCCTGGCTGAGCAGGGAGCCTCATGCAGTATTTGATCCCAGGGCCCCAGGATCATGACCTGAGCCAAGGGCAGACGCTCAACCAGCTGAGCCACTCAGGCACCCTTAATCTCTCTCTCTCTCTCTCTCTTTTTTTTTTTTCTTAATCTCTTTTTTTTGACAAGGGGAACAAGCTGCAAGCTGCAGTATTATTTTCATCCAGAAAGGATCCTGGGCTCCAGGCCTGGCTGGTGATCTTTGGCCAAGGACTCAACCTCACTGTGTTGTGTTCTCCTCCCTCACAGACTGGGGCAAGAACATTGGCCTTTGTAGACTTCAACTGGAGTCCAGCACCACCCACTCAAACGTTCTGTGGTGGTGGAGACATCCCATGTCTGCACTGCGATAGCTGCTACCGAGGAGTAGCTGGTGCAACCACAGAATGGAATATTTTGTGTTATTTCACTTTAATGAATTGAAAGTTTCGTAGCCACACATGGTTAGTGGCTCCTGTGTTGGAGACAGTGCAGATAAAGCATTTTACCAAAGCCCTGAGTCATTGCTTCCTGAATGAGGGGCCGGTTCCTCAAAGCTAGCGGTGTTCTAGATTCACAGTAGACACGCTTTCATGTCTCTGTTTCTTTGGTATCTTTGCTCACGTGCACTCTTTGCATAGAATTGCAATTGCAATCTCTGTAGATGTAATTAGACTTTTTAAAAGTCACTTTAAAAAACATCACTTTGGAAAAAAAAAAAAAAAAAAAAAAACATCACTTTGGGATCCCTGGGTGGTGCAGTGGTTTGGCGCCTGCCTTTGGCCCAGGGCGCGATCCTGGAGATCCGGGATCGAGTCCCGCGTCGGGCTCCCGGTGCATGGAGCCTGCTTCTCCCTCTGCCTGTGTCTCTGCCTCTCTCTCTCTCTCTCTATGTGAGTATCATAAAAAAAAAAATCACTTTTTTTTTTAAGATTTTATTTATTCATGAGAGACACAGAGAAGCAGAGACATAGGCAGAGGGAGAAGCAGGCTCCTAGTGAGGATCCTGATGTGGGATTTGATCCCAGATCCTGGGATCACGACCTGGGACAAAGGCAGACGCTCAACCACTGAGCCACCAAGGTGCCCTCCCTTTTTTTTCAAGTTTGTCTTTTTTTTAAAGTAATCTCTACATCCAATGTGGGGCTTGAACTCACAACCCCAAGATCAAGAGTTGCACACTCTAACAATTGAGCCTGCCAGGTGCTCCTACATGTCACATTTTTAAATAATGTGTGGTCTTGTATACAATCGGTGCTAAAACTTAACACAAACTCACTTAATTCTTATAAATTGTGAACAGGCTTCCCCCATTCTTTACAGATGGGGAAACTGAGGCCCAGAATGGGTGAGTAACTGGGGGACACACACCTGTGAAAACAAAAAATTCATCTTTCTATGGGTACCTGGGTGTCTCAGTGATTATCTGCCTTTGGCTCAGGGTGTGATCCCAGGGTCCTGGGATCAAGTCCTATATCGGACTCCCCATGGGGACCCTGCTTCTCCCTCTGCCTATGTCTCTGCCTCTCTCTGTGTGTCTCTCATGAATAAATAAAATGAAAAAAAATTTGTCTTCTACTGCAGCATCATCTCATAAACATTTGTCCTACTTCACAATGTGACTCGGTTCTGCACAATGGTACTGATCAAATTTGTCACAATTTGGCCTATCTCTGTCTAGATTGGGGATACAATATTGCCCTTCTGCTAAGAGTAGCCTTTGGCTCTGTCAGGTTTATAGCAAATTATGTGATCTAGAGACACCTGACTGGCTCCCATCAGTAGAGCGTGCAACTCTTGATCTCATAGTTGTGAGTTCAAGCACCACATTGGGTATTGAGATTACTTAAAGTCTTTTTTTTAAAAAAAATGGTGCATTCTCAAAAATGCTTAAGTGGAAAGACTGGTGAGAACTCCAGGAAAACTCAGTGGTTGTGTTAGGGTGCTTCCCCACATTTTCTTATTTTCCAAACTTTACTCAGTGACATTAGTAATAATTTTTGGGGATTCTTCATTGAGGTAGAAAGTACTTACTGCCATGAAAGAAAATCTAAAACTACATTGGTCAGGGAAGCCTGGGTGGCTCAGTTGGTTAAGCATTTGACTCTTGATTTCCAGTTAAGGTCTTGATCTCAGCATTGTGAGGTTGAGCCTCATATCAGGCTCCATGCTGGGCATGGAGCCTGCTTAAGATTCTCTCCCTCTCCCTTTGCCTTCCCTGCCCCCTCTTAAAAAAAAAAAGAAAACTACATTAGTTAAAATTTAGAACATGAAATGGGGTGTACCTGGGGAATTTTTACTCAGGTGGGAAGTAGGTAAAATGGATGGGCCACTGTTTTCTCCTGTTGGCAGTGGGCTGTGTTTTCTCACCTTGAAAATCTTTCCTGTTACATGCTCTCCCTGATGCCTGAGGTTGCCAGGAAATTGCTGCTTCGAAGATGGTAATTAGTTTTTCTTTGCTGCTCCTTGAAAAAAGCCAACATGTGCCCTGTCTTTCCCAGCTGTGCCCACATGCCGGCCTGATGAGTTCCAGTGCTCAGATGGGACCTGCATCCATGGCAGCCGGCAGTGTGACAAGGAGTATGATTGTAAGGACATGAGCGACGAGATTGGCTGCATCAATGGTGAGCTCCCTTTGGATCAGCCCTGCACCTACCCTATGTCTTCGGGCAAGTTACTTGACCACCTCAAACCTTACCTCCACTTATCTGACCAATGTGCATGGCAAAAGCATCTACTTCAGGACTGTGTGATTTCACGAGGCCAAAGTGTGCAGAGCTCCTGTCTTTTGAACTTAGAGATAACACGTGCAGTATAATTCCATGGAAAGCCCTTTCCTGAGCTTATAATATGACAATTCCACTCCTGGGAATGGTCCCAGGAGGATATGCAGAGCAGCACTGGCCTAATGGCAAAACACAAGCAGCAACCCGATTGTTTATCAGAATTAATTTTAAAATGGTTTTAATTGTGGCAAAATCATGTAACATAAGGATTTTATTTTTTTTATTCAAATATTTTATTTATTTTTAGAGCAAGTGTGTAGGGGAGAAGGGGGAGGGAGACTGAGAATCTTTTTTTTTTGTTGTTAAAGATTTTATTTATTTATTCATGAGAGACACAGAGAGAGAGGGGGGCAGAGACACAGAGGGAGAAGCAGGCTCCATGCAAGGAGCCCGATGGGGGACTCGATCCGGGGTCCCCAGGATCACGCCCTGGGCTGAAGGCGGCGCTAAACCGCTGAGCCGCCCAGGCTGCCCAAGACTGAGAATCTTAAGCAGGCTCCACATCCAGTGCGGTGCCAGGTACCAGGGTTAGTCTCACAACCCTGAGATCATGACCTGAGCTAAAATCAAAAGTTGGGTGTTTAGGGCAGCCCGGGTGGCTCAGCAGTTTAGTGCCCGCTTTCAGCCCAGGGCCTGATCCTGGAGACCCAGGGTCGAGTCCCACGTCGGGCTCCTTGCATGGAGCCTGCTTCTCCCTCTGCCTGTGCCTCTGCTTCTCTCTCTCTCTGTCCCTCATGAGTAAATAAATAAAATCTTAAAAAAAAAAAAAAAGAGTTGGGTGTTTAACTGACTGAGCCACCCAGGCACCCCCTGAAACAAACTTTTTTTGAACAAGAAGTTAAATGCTGATAATCCACTTTTTAACAATTGTAAATGATACATCGCAGGAAATTAAGTATGTTATGTTTTATTTATGAACACATTTACATATAATCGTATACAAATGAACTTTCATGTGAATAAGGAGTAGTAAGCAGGCTCTTGCATCTCAGAAGCACCTGACCCTCCTCTTTGCCTCTTAGTGACACTGTGCGAGGGACCCAACAAGTTTAAATGCCACAGCGGCGAGTGCATCACCCTGGACAAAGTATGCAACTCGGTCAGAGATTGTCGGGACTGGTCGGACGAGCCCCTCAAGGAGTGTGGTGAGCCCCGGGGTACAGGTGGTGCTCAGACTTATGGGGAGCTGGGGATGTGACCCAAACATGGATACTGTGTGCCTGTGAGTGCTTTAGCTGTGGGGCAATACAAACGTGGGGGTCTTTGGTGATAAGTGGCTTTACTTCCAAGCCTCAGTGTTCACGTCTGTAGGATGGTTCACACATCTTAGGGCTGCTGGGGATTGGCTGTTGCTATCCTTGTAAGGTTTCAGCAGTACCCCTTAACCTGTAACTATGTAAATATTTTGGACTTAACCAGCTGTAAGGTCTGTCACAGCTGTTCAACTGTCACACCTGTTCAATAGGACCGTTATGGCAGGAAAACAACATGAATGCACATGTGCACACAAACGTGTGTGACTGTGCTCCGAGCAAACCTGATTATGGACATTGATGTTTGAATTTCATGTGGCACAAAATACTGTTTTTCTCTTGATTTTTATTCATTCTTCTTTTCAATCATTTAAAAAAATGTAAAAACTATTCTTAGCTTTTGGGCCATGCAAGAACGCATGGTAGGCTGGCATTGGCTGAAGTTCTGTAGAGAGCCTGTGCATGGATGCTGGAGCTAAGCACCCTGAGTGTGGTCTAGTACTGTGATCTTGGACAAGTCTTTGAGCCTGGCCATGCCTCATTTTCCACAGCTGTAGTTCAGCTACCTGTATGGTTGTTGAGAGTTAGCATATGCAATTGTGGGATATGGTTTTTATTTTTTATAATCAAGAAATGAGTTTTACCCAAAAATAGCAGAGGATTTATCCTCTTAACCATTTTTAAGTGTCCAGTTTAGCGGCATTAAGCAGATTCACATGGTTGTACAACCATCCCCATTATCCATCTCTAGAACTTTCTCATCTTTCCTGATGAACCTCTGCCCTGTGAAACACCAACTCCCCACCCCTCCCCCACCCCTGGTGTCTGCCATCTACTTCCTATCTCTGAACTTGACTCTAATAGGGACCTCCTAAGAGTGAATCCTATAGTATTTGTCCTTCTGTGCCCCACATAGTTCACTCAGTAGAATGTCCTCGGATTCACTCATGGCACTACACATGACAGTGGTTATTTTAAGTCCCCTTAGCAGACATGGTAGTTCACTGGTCTCCATGTCCTTGTGATCATGATAAGGGTGATGAGATGGTGCAGGGGTACTAACGACCTGAGCGTGACCAGTCTGCCCACCCCTCCCCCACACCTGGTGCAGGGACCAATGAGTGTCTGGACAATAAGGGCGGCTGCTCCCACATCTGCAACGACCTCAAGGTGGGCCACGAGTGCTTGTGCCCAGAGGGCTTCCAGCTGGTGGACCAGCGAAGATGCGAAGGTGAGTCCTGAGCAGCATGGGCTCCCTGCCTCCTCAGCCCTTTCTCCTTGTGTGGTTGCCAAACCTTAACAGGTGTCCCACCTGTTAAGTGGGCATGAAAATGGTGCTGACCTCCAGGCCTGTTAGGAGGATTTAATGAGGTTGCCAGATGCATGGGTCATCAAGTACAGGCTTGGCCCGTGAGGAGCACTTGGTTCTTGCCTTTGGAGATTAATAATTAAGAAATAAATCCCTGCTGATGCAGCTTTGCCCTGTGGGTGGCACCTCTGGGGTGAATGGTGAGGTCAGGGTCATTGTTGGAGATGACGCTTGGCTGTTTCCGTGTTTTCATTCCTGAACCTGATGGCCCCGAGACCTTGGTTCTGCAGGTCTTCCCCAGAGGGCATGGGGTGTCCCCATTTGCCCCCGGGAGGCATGGCTTTCAGTAGGAGCCCATCACTCTATCAGCACCCCATGAAGAAGAAGCCCCAAATCTTTTTCTGTGCCCTAACTTGCAGATATCGACGAATGTCAGGATCCCGACGTGTGCAGCCAGCTGTGCGTGAACCTCGAGGGCAGCTACAAGTGCGAGTGTGAGGAGGGCTTCCAGCTGGACCCCCACACCAAGGCCTGCAAGGCTGTGGGTGAGCAAGGGGTGGGACCAGTGGGGCAGGGGTGGGGCTGGTGGGGGCAGAAGGGCACACTGTGTCCTGCAGAGACCTCTGGCAGATAGATGAGCAGGCCAATTAGGAACTTTCTAGGAGGCTGCTCTCACATGTCTTGCTTCCCTGCAGACTCAGGTCAGTTGCATGAGTGCTGGTTTCTAGCCCCCAGCCCTGCCAGTGGCTTCAGGGTACAAGAGGTGAAAAGCCATGGCCTGAACGGCCTGCACCCCCTGTTCTTTTTTTTTTTTTTTAAAGGGTGAGTTTTATTTCTATCAATACATCGGTAACATTCACCATTGTTGGGAACCAGCTTTATTTTTTTTAAGTGATATTGATAGATTTTTTTTTTTTTAGATTTTATTTATTTATTCAGAGAGAGAGAAAGAGAGAGAGAGAGAGGCAGAGACACAGGCAGAGACACAGGCAGAGAGAGAAGCAGGCTTCATGCAGGGAGCCCAACGTGGGACTCGATCCCGGGTCTCCAGGATCACGCCCTGGGCTGCAGGCGGGGCTAAACCGCTGCACCACCGGGGCTGCCCCCCCCCCCCCCAGCTGTTCTTATTCACTTACAGGAACCTATACCCAAAAAGCAAATTCACTTAATACAGACCAAGGTATAATCTCTCATAAGAAAACCAAATCACAGGGCAGCCCGGCTGACTCAGCAGTTTAGCACCGCCTTCACCCCAGGGTGTGATCCTGGAGACCCGGGATTGAGTCCCACGTCAGGCTCCCTGTATGGAGACTGCTTCTCCCTCTACCTGTGTCTCTGCCTCTCTCTCTCTGTGTCTCTCATGAATACATAAATAAAGTATTAAAAAAAAAACCCACAGCAATAGTTGGGTTTCTTTTCTTCTTAATCTAAGATTATAGGGTGCTTGGGTGGCTTAGTTGGTGAAGCATCTTCCTTTGGCTTGGGTCATGATCCCGGGGTCCTGGGATTGAGCCCATGTTGGGCTCCCTGCTCAGTGGGGAGTCTGCTCCTCTGTCTCCCTGTGCCCCTCCCCCTGCTTGTGCTCTCTCTCTCTCAAATAAATAAAAACAAACAAATTTAAGATTAGAACGGCACTCATGCACTGATTCTCAGAATCTCCAAATCAAGAGATCCCATGTGTTTGGAGGCATAGCCAAACTCCCTTTGCTTTGTGTCATGTCATTACCCGCCTGTCTGATTCTAATGAGGTACAAGTTTGCAGAAATATTTTAGATCAACTTCTGTTTCCTTACGGTCTGTTTTAGCCTTGAAGTCTTTCTCCTGTGTTATCACCCCTTTTGTGACGGTTCCTTGGCCTCCCTTGCTCATACCCCCACGCATTTCCTGGTTTTGGGGAAAACCAAAGACTGAGCTCATGAAACCCTCTAGGATTTGAAGTTTCACTTTCCTTCCAATATCTATGGACTGATGTCTATACAGGTGCCTTCCAGAGGGTAAGGGGCACATGGTGTTGTGGGAAGGGGTATTCTGAGTGAGGTCCATTGTACACATGGTTAGCTTGTTGGTGAATATTGGCATCATGGTTAACAGCACAGTCCCCAGGGACAGGGCAGTGTGTGTTCAAATTCCAGCTCTGCCACTTACTAGCTGGTATGACCTTGGGCTAGTACCTTCTCCTCTCTGAGCTTCAATCCCCTCACATACAATAGGAGTTTGACAGTAGCCCTGGTCTCATCGGAGTGTGCGGACCAATAAGGGAAAATATAATAGGAAAAGCACTTAAGGAGAATTTCCTGCCCTAAGGTATAGCTCTATACACATTAGCTGTTAATGTTTCTTCTTCCTCTTTTTTTTTTTTTTAAGATTATTTATTTATTTGAGAGAGAGAGAGAGAGCAAGCATGAACGGGGTGGAGCAGAGGGAGAGGGAGAAACAGGCTCCCCACTGAGCAGGGAGCCTGACGCAGGGCTCCATCACAGAATCCTGAGATCATGACCTGAACTGAAGGTAGACACTTAACCGACTGAGCCACCTAGATGCCCCTCGTTTCTTCATCTTTACGTTCCAAAATGTAAAATGCTGGGGCCCCAGTGCAGATTTTATTACCAATGTAGGCTTTATTATCATTCAAGTATGGCAAGGCCAACCAGTCAGGAGATGGCCACCATTGAAATGATCGGTTGTTACAGTTCCCAAGAGGAGGGCCATGGCAGCCAGGGGGCCAGCCGGGGAAGCACCAGGGTCAGTCAGGAGGCAGAGGAAGAGGAGGGGTATCACATGGGCCAGAGCCTCCCTTATGGTTTCCTTGGGCATGAGGTGAAGCAGGGTGAGCAAGCTCAGGACTAGCTAGTCTGAATAATCTCAGCGGGCTCTGGGGCAGAGCAGCTGCCCCTGGTTGTCTGGTACCTGCCCTGTGGTGACTGAAGCAGGAGGAGGGGTTGCGACCCAGAGCATGAGAGCCCAGTGGAGGGGTGGCGGGCATGGGCTGGAGAGTTTGCTTTCAAGGCATGTCATGAACCATCCCTAGGAGCTGGTTGGCCCTGGGAGGGGCTGTCCTTTCAGGTTCTGCAAGGCCTCGGATGTCAGAGCATCAGAACCACATGGTCTTGTTTTGTTCTGTTTTGTTTTTAGTTTTATGTATTTATTCATGAGAGACACAGAGACAGAGGCAGAGATGTAGGCAGAGGAAGAAGCAGGCTCCTTTTGGGGAGTCTGATGCGTGACTTGATTTCTGGCAACCAGAGATCACAACCTGAGCCAAAGGCAGACACTGAACCACTGAGCCACCCAGGTGCCCCTGGAGCCACATGGTTTATACACCAACGAGGCATTTCCCATGGCATCTTGGGTGTCTCCCCTGGTTCAGCCAGACCCCCAAGGGTGACAAGCTCGAGTCAGGGGGCCTTCTACTCCCCTGAGCATCCTTCCTGTGTCCCCAGGCAACATCGCCTACCTCTTTTTCACCAATCGCCATGAGGTGAGGAAGATGACTCTGGACCGCACCGAATACACCAGCCTCATCCCCAACTTGAAGAACGTCGTCGCCCTGGACACAGAGGTGGCCAGCAACAGAATTTACTGGTCCGACCTGTCCCAAAGGAAGATCTACAGGTGAGCCTTGGAGCTCCACCCAGCCCCCCAATCCAGGTGAAACAGGCCCCTCATACTGACGTTCTGCTCCCGCTTCTCCCACTGACAGCACCCAAATCGACAGAGCCCCCAGCTTCTCCTCCTATGACACCGTCATCAGCGAAGACCTCCAGGCCCCCGACGGGCTGGCAGTGGACTGGATCCACAGCAACATATACTGGACAGACTCCATCCTGGGCACCGTCTCCGTGGCTGACACCAAGGGTGTGAAGAGAAAGACGCTCTTCAAGGAGAAAGGCTCCAAGCCACGTGCCATTGTGGTGGATCCCGTGCATGGGTTGGTACCCCCATAGCTGAGGGGCTCAGAGGGAAGCACAGGCGGGGTTTAGAAGTGGTGAGGACTCAGCCTGGGGAAAGGCATGTGCCTGGGCTGGATTGACCTTTGTAGGCATGGGGCTTTCCTTGCTGTCAGGAAAGCACAAAACCTGGAATGGTCTTCTCCACCTGCCTTTTGGGAACCAAGTATTGATCCTTCTCGATGTCTGTTGAGATGGAAGCAGACCCTGAAAAGTCATGTGCTCAGGATAAGAGCCCCAAATCAGAGACACGCCTGGGTGGATGAGTCGGTTAAATGTCTGACTCTTGATCTCAGCTCAAGTCCTAATCTCAAGGTTATGAGTTCAAGCCCTGCATTGGACTCCATGCTGGGTGTGGAGTCTACTTTAAAAAAACAAAACAAAACAAAACAAAAAAAAACCAGAAATTGAAATATGGATTTAAATTGGTATTAGAAATTAATACTAAAAAATTAATACTTATTTAAATTCTGCTTTAGTATTTTACTGCAGAGAATCCTGTGCCAGGATAGGATTGGAGAAAAAGCACTCAGCTCCAATGGTAGTTTACAGGGAGTAAAGATCACCACCCCAACGGGGCCCCCAGGAGGGTGTTTGCAGGGCCGGGGGCTGACTCAGCACTCCAACGCCCACAGGGACCTGTGTCCCCTGGCAGAAAGTATCTCCCCACCCCCTGTCCTGCACCCATTACACCACATCTGCCTGTGGAATTTCACAACTCTGGAGGGGCGGTGGCAACCTTGGTACAGGCATCCTGTCCTGGTGGCAATCATCAAAAGGAAAGGGAACTGTTTGTTTTTTTTTAAGGTTTTATTTATTTGAGAGAGAGTGAGCACAAGCAGGGCATAGTGGGAGAGGGAGAACCAGGCTCCCTGCCAAGCAGGGAGCCCCATGCAGAGCTCCATCCCAGGACCCCAAGATCATGACCTGAGCTGAAGGCAGAAGCTTAACTGAGCTACTCAGGTGCCTCAAAAGGGAACTTTGGAGATGAACATGACTCAGATGGGACAGACCCTGGGGTGAAGGTGGGCCTTGGCCCACAAATGTTCTTATTTGGCAAAGGGACACTTGGTTTAATAAATTTAGCTCCCCAGCTGCCAGGAAAGAGCGAGACCCCTAGAAATAACCCCTTAGATACAAGTCATGGGATGTGTGTGTGTGTGTGTGTGTGTGTGTGTGTGTGTGTGCATGTGTGCATGCTCTACTGTTGGGTTTCTGTTCCCCTCCAGAATATAGTGTAGGCTTGGGCTCTTGCTCTCTGTTCTCCACTTGGGTCTTTCATTTGGCACATGGGGTTCATTCCCTGTGGACTGGATGAGCCCTGATTTGCTTTGTACCTAGCACATGGAAATTGAGTTTTTTTCCCCCACCTCACACCAAGAGGCCCTAAATACCTTTGAATTCCTTTAAATGGGTGTCACTGCAGTTTTTTGTCTGCAGGATTGTAGATTCTAGATTTCTCATTCTAGAAGTTAGATCACTAGATCCAAGGGTACATCCACGGATATAGCATCAAACTGTCATGGAACACCTGCTCTCCAGAAGTGCAGCTGAGGACCCATTTCACTCACTGTCACCAGCCGGTCTTCCCTCTTTGCCAGTCTTTTTTTTTTTTTTTTAAGATTTTATTCATTTATTCATGAGAGACAAAGAGAGAGGCAGAGACACAGGCTCCACACAGGGAGCCCGACGCAGGACTCGATCCCGGGTCCTCAGGATCACACCCCAGGCCGGAGGCAGGCGCTAAACCGCTGAGCCACCCAGGGATCCCCGACCTCTTTGCCAGTCATGATGGGGAGGGGGTCTTTCAGTGTATTTGTATTTGGCTACTTGTTAGTTTGAACATCTCTTCAGAGGCATAAAAGCCATCAGAGATCTACCTTTTTTTTTTTTCATGAGAGACAGAGAGAGAGGCAGAGACCTAGGCAGAGGGAGAAGCAGTCCCCCTGTGGGGAAGCTGATGTGAGACTCAGTCCCAGGACCCCGGGATCACGACCTGAGCCAAAGGCAGACACTCAACCACTGAGCCACCCAGGTGCCCCCACTTCCAAGTATAGATCCAAAAGCAGTGAACACAGGCAGGCAAACAGGTATTTGTACCCCCGTGTTCATGGCAGCCAGGGTATGGAAGCAGCCCAAGTGTCTCTGGATAGATGAAGGATAAACTAATGCAGTCCACCACCTGATAGAATTGTATTCAGTCTGAAAAAGGAAGAACATTCTGACACCTTCTACAACATAAGGCAAGAAGTCAGACACAAAAGGACAAATACTATATGATCCCACTTATGTGAGGTTTCTAGGGGAGTCCCATTCATAGAGATAGAAAGTGGAGTGCTGGAAGCCAGGGGTTGGGGCAGGTGTTTGATGGGGTCAGAGTTTCCGTGTGCGGTGGTGGAAAAGTTCTGGAGATGGATGGTGGTGATGGTTGCATGACAGTATGTATGTACTTAATGTCACTGAACTGGACACTGAAAAACGGTTAAGCTGGTAACTTTTATGTTATGTGTATTTTACCATGATAAAAAAAATCTTTTTAAAGATTTTATTTATTTGAGATAGAGTGAGAATGAGAGAGAGAGTGCACACACGAGTCGGGGAAGAGGCAGAGGGAGAGAGGGAACAGGCTCTCCACTGAGCAGGTAGCCCAATGAGGGGCTCAGTCTCAGGATCCGGAATCGTTACCCAATCCCAAGGCAGATGCTTACCCAACTGAGCCACCAAGGTGCCCATTAAAAAAAATTTTTTTTAAAGATTTTATTTATTTATCCATGAGAGACCCAGAGAGAGAAAGAGGCAGAGATACAGGCAGAGGCAGAAAAAGTCTATGCAGGAAACCCAATGTGGGACTTGATCTGGGGACTCCGGGATCACGCCCTGAGCTAAAGGCAGACGCTCAACCGCTGAGCCACCCAGGCGTCTCACCATTAAAAAATTTTAAAGAAAAAAAAAAACACTTTACAAAATAAAAAATGTATAAAAGCCTTCAGAAAGCACTGTCGAGGGTGCACATTAAGCGTCCTCAGTCCTGACATTGGAATCGAAACCTCCCTTTGTTCTCGAAGGTTCTAAAATCCTGCAACCAGGTTGCAGGCACTAGGGTAGTGGAAGAAACCAATTTGAGGTGTCTTTTGGGGACTCCTTACAATTCCTGGCCCTGCTGCTTCAGGCGGGAGCCTCCCCTACTGACATCCTGCTATTGCTGCTTTCCCACCAGCTTCATGTACTGGACGAACTGGGGAACTCCCGCCGAGATCAAGAAGGGGGGTTTGAATGGTGTTGACGTTTACTCACTAGTGACGGAGGACATCCAATGGCCCAATGGCATCACCCTGGGTATGTCCTTGGTTGGGACGTTGGTCTCTGGGGTCAGGCACGGCCTGGCGAAAAGAAGGGAGTGGCCAGGCTGCACCTGAATAAAAAAAATGCAGCTCCCTGTTTTTTATAACCTGCCACTAAACTGCCCCAGCATGGCGTTTGGGCTGACAGGTGGAGGTGTGCAGTGGGGGCTGCTTTTCAGGGCACATCTCTGCCGGGTCCTCAGGGGGTCCTTCCTGTGGGGAGTGGAGTGACCAGGCCCAGGCCCCTCTGGCATTGACATGTGATCTCTCCTTGTCCACCTGTGGATTCTAGATCTTTCTGTTGGCCGCCTCTACTGGGTTGACTCCAAGCTCCACTCCATCTCCAGCATTGATGTCAACGGGGGGAACCGGAAGACCATTTTGGAGGACAAGAAAAAGCTGGCACATCCCTTCTCCTTGGCCATCTTTGAGGTGGGGACGGGGAGCCAGGGGTTGCTCTTTGGGTGCTTGAGGGAAATCCCATCTACATGCTAGTTACTGACACAATGTATGTACGAGGCATACGTGCTCATGCTAATGGGTCAACCCACATTGTCTGGTTCATTCAAGCTGAGACCAACTTATAAAACTGAAGTTATTTCCATTTTCTTCTCATCAAAAGAGATATATTTTTTAAGATTTTATTTATTCATGAGAGACAGGCAGTGACATAGGCAGAGGGAGAAGCAGGCTCCCTGCTAGGAACTCAATGCAGGACTTGATCCCAGTAGGACCTGGAATCATGACCTGAGCCAAAGGCAGATGCTCAAACACTGAGCCTCCCAGGTGCTTCTGTTTTTTGTCTTTTTAAGTAAACTCTACCCCCAGCGTGGGGTTTGGACTCACGACTCAGATCAAGAGTCGCAGGCTCCCCGAGCTGAGCCAACTTTTGGGTGCCCCCTCACCCAAAGAGTCTTAAAGCAGCAGTTCTCATTTGGAGAGGCCATCTTGGGGCCCAGGGGACAATCTGGCACTTTCTGGAGACTTTTTGGTGGTTGCACTTGGAGGGGGAGTCCCTCCTGGTACTTAGTAGGTAGAGGCCTAGGAAGCTGCTAACAGCCTTACAGAGAGAAAAGGAGGCCAACCACAGCTGGAAACTGTTTTAAGGAAACATAATGTTTGTGCACCCTCATTCAAGCAGTGTGACTCAACATTCACCAAGAGGTAGAAGCACCCTGGGTGTCCGTCAGAGATGAAGGGCTAAACAATATGTGTAACTATGCAGTGGAACGTGATTCAGGAGACAGGGAGGTGCTTCTGACACACTGCCACAGGGACGATGCTGGAGAGAACCAAATCCAGACACAAGAGAACAGATCCTGTCTGATTCCACTTGTGTGCGGTCCCCAGAGGAGTCCTGTCCTCAAAGACCGGAAGTCAATGGTGGGCATCAGGGCCTGGGGCAGGGGGTGGGGAGTCCCTGTTTCATGGGGACAGAGTCTCAGTTTGGGTAGATGGAAAATTCTGGAGACGGATGGTGGTGATGGTTACACACCAATGTGAATGTACCTAATGCCCACAACACACTTAAAAAGGATTAAGATGGTTGATTTTAGATTATGTGTATTTTACACAGTTAAAATTTTTTTAAAAAAGAAAGTAAAAAGAGGGGCGCCTGGGTGGCTCAGTCAGTTAATCATCTGCCTTCGGCTCAGGTCATGATCCCAGAGTCGTGGGATCGAGCCCCACATGGGGCTTCCTGCTTAGTGGGGAGCCTGCTTCTTCCTCACCCTCTGCAGCATCCCCTGCTTGTGTGCTCTCTTTCTCTCTCTTTCTCAAATAAACCTTAAAAAAAAAAGAAAAAGGAAACGAGGCTCGTACCCCCTAGTGTTGCTTCCTTCCAAATATTCGGGTGTCCTATGCCCTCAATTAATGGGATCTGCTGTCTTCTTTAATGCCATATAGGATAAAATCTTTTGGACGGACATCATCAATGAAGCCATTTTCAGTGCCAATCGCCTCACAGGCTCAGACATTAATTTGGTGGCAGAAAACCTCTTGTCGCCAGAGGACATTGTCCTTTTTCACAACTTCACACAGCCAAGAGGTAAAGATAGGGTGACTGCTTCCTGCCTCCACATCCCTGCTGGTGGTTCTGGAATTTTCTAGAATTTTCTAACCTTGCTCTCCTGCCTCTTCCACCTCAGGGGTGAACTGGTGTGAGGGAACTGCCCTCCCCAATGGCGGCTGCCAGTACCTGTGTCTCCCGGCCCCGCAGATCAACCCCCACTCGCCCAAGTTCACCTGTGCCTGCCCTGATGGCATGGTGCTGGCCCAGGACATGAGGAGCTGCCTCATAGGTAGGGGCGCCGGCCTGCCTGCGCGTGAGTCCTGCTTCTGCCCCCTCTTCTGGCTTTAGTCCTGCAACTTGACCTTCCTGATCTTTTATTTGCTCATCTTCCAAACGGGAGGGGATGAAGCTCCAGGAGGCCCTCATAAGGGGTAACCGTGGTTTGCCTTTGTCGTGCTGGATACGTGAGCCCTGTGCCAGGCATTTAGACAGATGCCATTCACCTTTGCTGTCCGGTTCACTCTCTCCCAGCCCCTTGGGAGGTGATCGATTGTAGACCTGGGCATCGAGGGAGAAGATGACCCCCTTTTTGGTGTTTCTCATCCTCAGAGAAAGTCTCAGTTTGGGGACAGTGTGTTTGAAATACTTGTGAATCTGTCTTTCAACCTATAACAAATAATGTAATAACAATATAGATATTAGTGTGCTTCAATTGTTTTCAGTTTTTTTCAAGATTTTATTTTTTATTAGAGAGCACGAGCAAGGGGGAGGGGCAGAGGGAGAGGGAGAAGCAGACTTCCTGCTGAGCAGGGAACCCACCGAGGGGCTTGATCCCAGGACCCTGGGATCGTGACCTAAGCTGAAGACAGATGCTTAACTGACAGAGCCACTCAGGCGCCCCTGTTTTCAGTTATTTCTTTGTGACCCATGGCACATGCTACTTATCCATCGTCATTATCACAGTTATCAGAGAAGCCCTTGGGCAGTAGAGCACTCAGGAGATGTTTCTTCTTTCAGGGACTGAACCTGGAGCCACCATCCAGGGCACGGCCACGGTCACGGTCAAGTCGACGGTCCATTCCACAGCCGGGAGGCCGACAGTCCCCTCCACAACCGTGGGGCCAAAGCACACAGCCAGCCCGTGGTCTGTGGCCAGCCCTGAGTTCACCACGGCTGAGATGGTGACCATGTCCCACCAAGGTAAAGGCGGGGACTATCCTGGCCCCAGGTTTATAGCTCAGGCGTCTAGACCGGCCCCTTCAGAGGCCAAGAGAATCTGGGGAAGGGATACTGTGGGTCTAGTCTTGTCCCTGCACTCTCTCTGACACAACCTATGCAATTTCAGAAGCCTCCATTTGGCTACCTGGAAAATGGGACCAATGACAGTGGCCGCCCTCCTCGTGGTCGTGGTAGTAGTGGGGATTGTGTGGCCCAAGGCGTGTGAAGCACTTGAGTGTGTGGTGGTGGCTTATCCCAGAGTCTTCCCAGTGCAGAGACCCCGGAGCCTGAAATGTTATCAAGGCCCATTCGATGACCTGCTTTCCAGGTGTCTGCCCAGCAGGCCAGGGCTAGGGTGAGGCAGATGAGGCGCTCCACAGGGTGGCATCTGAGGGATCACCAAAAACCCAGGACTTAAAATAATATTTTATTGCATTACTTTTTCAAAGATCAAATCCCTGAACTATGGGCCGAACACCTGGTCTTGCAAATATAATTTGGTCAGATGGGGCACCTGGGTGGCTCAGTGGTTGAGCATCTGCCTTCGGCTCAGGTCGTGATCCCAGGGTCTGGGGATCGAGTCCCGCATTGGGCTCCACATGGAGAGCCTGCTTCTCCCTCTGCTAATGTATCTGCTTCTCTCTGTCTCTCATGAATAAATAAATAAAATCTTTAAAAGATTTTGATCAGAGCCTGGGTCCCAACACGGCCAGGACAGGCAAGTGTAGATTCAGAGCCTGTCTTCCTAAACATTTGATATTTTATCAGGGGGTATTGGCCTTCATTTTTATTTCTTAAAAAAAGGTCACATTAGAATATTACTCTATTACTAAGGGTTTTTTTGTTTTTGTTTTTGGCACGGGGCGGGGCGGGGAGTGGTGCAGGCTCTAAGTTTTGTGCCTATGGCTTAGTGCCTGGCTCACAACCTAGCCCAGGCTCTCAGTGAATTAATGGAAGACCCGCCATTCATCTCTTTGCCCACCAGAGGGCACCTGCCCTCGTGTTTGGCCAGAAAAATGGAGCTCATAGATGTTTCTAGCCAGAAAAAAATGGGCTCATCAGCAAGTTGGACATTTTTTTCTCCCTCACAGTGGCTGAAGCCTATGTACCACCATAAACAAGGTAAAGCAGAAACTGCTGTGGTTGAGAGAGGCCAGGAAATCTTTCCACGGGGGGCAGTGCCACTGCTTGGAAAATTGTTTCACAGATGGGCCCACCCAGGGCTCCTTGATTTGAGCAAAGGATACCCCCCTTTTTTAAAAAGATTTTTTATTTATTTATTCATAGAGACACACAGAGAGAGAGAGAGAGAGAGAGAGAGAGAGGCAGAGGGAGAAGCAGGCACCATGCAGAGAGCCTGACGTGGGACTCGATCCAGGGCCTCCAGGATCACACCCTAGGCCGCAGGCAGCCCTAAACCACTGCGCCACTGGGGCTACCCCAAAGGAGCTCTTTTAAGGGAAAAACTTCTCAAGGATCTTGCTGGTGCCTTAAAGTATTTTTGTTAGAAGTTTTCTTAAATATGCACAAATATTAAAAAAAAAAAAAAAGGCAATTTAAACTACACCACGTATAACCAGCCAATATAGGGCAGCCCAGGTGGCTCAGCAGTTTAGTTCTGCCTTCAGCCCAGAGCGTGATTCTGGGGACCCGGGATCGAGTCCCGCATCGGGCTCCCCACATGGAGCCTGCTTCTCCCTCTGCCTATGTCTCTGCCTCTCTCTCTCTCTCTGTGTGTCTCTCATGAATAAATGAATAAAATTAAAAAAAAAAAAAGATTAACCAGTCGATATAACCCACCTGGGGTTTGAATAGAACTGATGATGTAAATCATGGCTCACTTGCGTCCATGTGGCCCAGGTGTGGATCTTCGGTCTTCCCGGGCTGTTTGGAGGACTTTAAACTTTGATTTGCCTGGGGCCCTCACAGGGCTCAGGTGCACCAGTGTGCTTGTATAACGAGGTTCCCCCCAGTATTTATTAACTGGGGTAGTTGACACAGGAGTCTGGAGCTTTGGTGCAGTCCACACTGGGCCCAGGAATTGCTGAACAGTCCGGAGTCAGGTGGCTGCTATCCCGTCCAGACCTGTCTCCTTTCCATCAGATGCAGAACCAGCATGAAACATTCCACCAGTGACCTCACCAGCTAGCAAATGTACCTGCAGGCTCTTGCCTCAAAGATCGTTGGTCCCTCCCCCAGAGCTTTGAAATGCTTGGCTGAGGAACCTCTTAAATCTGCTCTAAGTCCCATAATCCCAACTGCTAATGAAAGAGGCCCCAGCGTGATGCCTCTCAAACCTGGGAGACGCTCCAAGTTCCTTTGAACTTCTTTTTTTTTTTTTAAGATTATTTATTTTAGAGAGAGAGAGTACAAGCAGTGGGAGGAGCAGAGAGAAAGAAAACCCAGCAGACTCTCTGGTCAACACAGAGCCTGACATGCAGGGTTTGAACTCATTACCTTGAGATCACGACCTGAGTTGAAAGCTAGAGTCGGACCCTTAACCCACTGAGCCACCCAGGCTTTGAACTTTTAAAGACACCAGGAAATAGGAGGTGTTTCCGTCTATGTGTGGGTTGTTATACACCTGCCGTGGATCTGAGCTTCACTTTGTCCTTTCTCCCATGCAGCCCTGGGCGACGCTGCCAGCAGAGGAGACGAGAAGCCCAGGAGCGTGGGGGCTCTGTACATCATCCTCCCCATCGGTAAGTGAGCAGGCCAGGCCCACCCTGGGGCCCAGCTTCCTGCAAAATGACCTCCCTGCCCAGCGAAGCCACCCCAAGGGCCCACTAGAAATGGTGCAAAGAACACTCAGAAGAAAAGAGTTTTGGCCGCATTGGTAGAGACCGGTCCCATTTCTGAAGGAGGGGTAGCCCCATGTGTGGGGACTCAGAGGAAACCTGGGAGAACCAGCCACGGTTGGGTAGCTCCAGGGCGACGCAGTCGCAGTGGGCTTTGCGTTAGAGATTTGTTAGGCACGTAGATAGGGTTTGTTTGTTTGTTTTCCAGTGGACGAGTATGGCTTTAAATTTGCAACAAAAACCCTAAATAAGTCAAAAAGGGCAGGAGTCTGCAGGCGGTGTCACTCGGGGGGCTGAGCTGGGTGGCAGGGCCCTGGGGCGGCCTCCTGACCTGGCCACCTCCCGTTGCAGTCCTGCTCATCCTCCTATGCTTTGGGACCTTCCTCCTCTGGAAGAATTGGCGGCTTAAAAGCATCAATAGCATCAACTTTGACAATCCTGTGTACCAGAAGACCACGGAGGACGAGGTGCATATCTGCTGCAGCCAGGACGGCTACACCTACCCTTCGGTGAGTACCGGCCCAGGAGGCCCCCCACCTCCTCGTCCTCCCCACAGGGCTGGGAGATCCTCCAGAGACCCTCAAGGTGGGGGATAGGTAAGGACAGGATCAAGAGAAAGCAAACAAAAGAGGGAAGTGGGGGCTTTTGGAGAGGGAAGGAGATTTTTTTTTAAAGTTTTTTATTAAAAAAAAAATTTACTCATGAGAGACAGAAAGGCAGAGACACAGGCAGAGGGAGAAGTAGGTTCCATGCAGGGAGTCTGATGCGGACTCGATCTGGGACTCTGGGATCACGCCCAGGAGGGAGATTTTAGATGAGGCAGCTGGGGCAGGCTCCCCAGGCCAGGGAGCGTGTGGTGTGCAGAACACATCGCCTAGGTGTAGACTCTGAGGCTGGTGAGGCTGGAGCTGAGAATCGGGGTGGGGGTGTCGAGCGAGTTGCCCAACGTAGGGAAGGGACCAGGCAGGGCCTTGTGCACCTGGCCTCAGGAGGAACCACATGGGAGCCATGGAAGGTTCTGATTAGAGGAGGGACTTGGCCTGACTCCCGGCTCACCGGCGCCCTCAGGTGGCTGTCGGGGGAAAGACGGGGGCAAGGTCGTGGGGTGGGGCCGGCCCCCAGCTTGGCGGAGGCTGCTGCGCTGGTGCAGGCTCCGATGAGGGGGGCTGGCCCCCCGCGCGGGCGCGGGCGCGGGCGTCAGGGAGGGAGGCGTAGGTGGCCTCTGGCCATGTTTACTGAATGTTGGACTGATCGCTTCCGGCGTTTATCCTTCTGTTGACAGAGACAGATGGTCAGCCTGGAGGATGATGTGGCCTGAGCCGCTGCCCCTGGTCCCGTCCTTCCCCGGAACCTGCTGCCGGTCACCTGCTGCCGGTCACGGGCAGGAAGGACACTTTCTCCCCGGACCCTTGACCTGCCACAAACCCTTCCTGAGACCTCGACGCCCTCCTGTTTCATGCAAAGTGACCAAAGCCCTGCTGGCAGCCGCAGCCTCAGCGCCGGCTGCAGCTTGGCCTGTCTGCCAGAGCTTTGTTCTATATATTTATTCATCTGGGAGGCAGAACGGGCTTCCAACGGCGCACACGCAACGGGTTTAGGTAGGGCTTTTTTTTTTTTTTTTAATTTCTCTATGAATAGCAGAGAAGAGAAAGTCGAATGAGCTGGGGGGGGGGGCGGGGCACGTTTCTGCCCTCTCCAGGGGACTGCTCACTTCTCCCCTCCTGTGGGACTGACGGAGGGACAGAGAGGGGGAGAGAGAGGGAGAGGGAGAGAAGGCAAGCGGCTCTGACCACGAGAGCAGGCCCTACCCAAGGTCCTGAGTAGCTGCCTGCCCCCCACTCTAGCCCGAGCCCCCAAACTCAGGAGTAAATGTGTTCACCTCTGCCTTGCTGGACAGCCAGCACTAGCTTTTGCCTTGCCGCCCCCTCCCCTGCCCAGATCTGGATCAAACTAGTGTTTTCCAAGCAAGATTTGTGCCCTCCCTTTACGCCAAGACTCTGGTGTTGGTCCTGATGTGGCCAAATCCAGCGTCCTGGGCGCGGGGGCCAACCAAACCCCATTAATTCACCAAAACCTCATCGGTTCCCAGGGAAAGCCTGAGCCACCGGTTGCCCTTAATATTTATTAAGTGCCTGAGATACCCAGTCAGCTGATGCATGGAGACAGCGGCCCCCGACCTCTAGGAGCATCCTTAGGCCTGGGTGCGGCGGTGCAGACCCCAGCCCCTGCGCCCACCCCAGCCCCTTCCAGATCCCCTTGCACTTTTTTTAGTTCAGGGCTGTATCTTGTGTAAAGTTGACATAGTCACTATTTTGCACTGGTTTCTGTTCCAGTTGGGATGGGCTCCGGGGTGGGAGAGGATGGATGAATGTACAATCTCGGGGCCTTCCCCCCCAGCGCCCCCTTCCTACCCCTCCCAGCACTTCAAAGCCACAATCATGACTATCCAGCCTGTGTTTCCACGTCTATGCAGATCCCCCTGAGCCATTAACTTCCCCAAGATGGTTGTCTTTTGTTTGGCGAATGCCCATTTTAGCCCTGTAGGATGTCCCCCGGGCTTCGTCATTTTATGGGACTTAAACAAAATATCTTTCCAATACTATCATACGGTCACGTCTATGACCAAAGAGACAAGTGGCAGCCTCCTGTGGACTCCTGTCAAGGGCTTGTCCACTGTTCACTGCATGACCACCAAACACTGTGCCCCTGTAGGAAACTGTGAAAGCCTTTTCTCCTTCTGAAGCATGTAAATAAACCCCTGTTCAGGTAATGGGGGGGGCTTTTTGTTATGTTTGCACTTTGTATATTTGTTAAACATTATCACTTATGTATATGAAACAAAGATCTATTTATTTTTGCAAACCCTGGTTGCTGCATCGGTGACCCCTCCGGGGGCTCTGCGTTGAGGGAAGTTGTCTCTGAGACGCCTCTTTTTGTACAAAGATGACTCATGCGGGCTTTGCGCAAAGCTCTTCGGGAGGACCGTGTCTGTGTTGTATATATGATGGGTTGCTTTGGGGGGATGGGTATCGCTTTTTAAACCACTGTATAGAATGTTTTTATAGCCCGAATGTCTTACTGTGATCAATTAAATTTCTTAAATGAACCGCTTGGTGAAACCTGGACCGCTTTCTTCCTCTGGTCTCTGGCTCCTCTGTCTGTGCATGAGCAGAACTTCCCAGGAGATGGCTCTGGAAAAGGGAACATTTCCCCAGAGCTCAGGACAGTCACAGGCTATGGGGCGCTTCCCTGAAGTGGGGTTTTGCTAAATCTCCTTCATGCTCCTTCACAGAACCAACATCTAATGGGCGCCTGTGTGGTGTGCAGGTCCCGGCCTAGGCGTGTGGGACACTGCCATAAATAAGAGAGTAAGAGTCTGCCCTCAAGGAGCTGATATTTTAGAAGGGGAAATAGATACAATGATGATATTTTAGAAGAATATTCTAGAAGAATGTTAAACAGGGCAATGGGGCAGAGAAGTGACTGGCAGGGAGAAGGCTCCTTTAGGGAGGGCTCAGGGAAGGATTTTCTAAGGAGGTGACATTTGGGCTGAATCCAGAAGCATAAACTGTGAGGAGTGGCTGGGGCTGAGACCTTCCCACTTGGTTCAATCAACACACGATTCCCGAAGGGAGCGTCCCCTACAAACTCTTTGGGCCCCTGGATGGTTGATGTGAGGTTTTTCTTTTTTTTTTTTTAAGATTTTATTTATTCATAACAGAGAGGCAGAGACACAGGGAGAGGGAGAGAAGCAGGCTCCGTGCAGGGAGCCCGACGCAGGACTCGATCCCAGGACCCCAGCATCACACCCCGGGCCGAAGGCGGGGCCAAACCGCTGGGCCACCGGGGCTGCCCAATGTGAGGTTTTCTTAAAGGATGAACACCCAGGAAATAAATTGCTGAGATAATAAAACGAGGTCTCACAACACAAATCCAAATAATCACGAGTTCCGGCGAATCGGGCCTCAAATTCCGTAGTAACAACATTTGGCCAGAGCTGTGGGCGTTGCAGGCACACGCAGCCCCATTCTCTCTGCACCCCAGCTTTACTGGAGTCTGACGTGCAGGCTTCAGACCCCTTTCCCGGGACATGGCAAACCAAACCGCAAGGAGTCTAGGCACACCCGTCGGGGGTCAGAGACACAGCGGGTCCATGGATGCAAAGAACTTAATATGGGGAAGTAGGTATAAAAGCTCAAATGGGACCAACCACACTGACACCTCACGCCCTGGGCTTCCGCTCTAGGTCCTTACAGGTGGGAGCCAGGGCCTGAGGGACAGGGGTGGGGACACAGGTTCCATTGTGAAGACCGAGAAAGTTCTGAAGACTGGTGGTGGCGGTGGCCGCACAACCATGTGGATGTACCCGATGACCCCAGATTGGACACTTAAACCCGGTCGAATGGGAAGTCTGATGCTGTGTGTATTGGAAGGCAACGCTAAATGATTATTTCTTTAAAGACCCAATAGGGGAACAATGAGGCAGCCAGAAGTAAACGCGGTGTAGGGCAGAGCTGGTATTACCGGACCCAGAGGGAGCTGTTGGGAGCCTCGTAGGTGACACTGTGTATGGCAAAAAAAGGGGGGGGGGAGTCAGCTTCTCCCCTCCTCCTGGTGGTGCCCTCTCCCACCAGCGAGGACCCCGCAGCCTGAAGCCAGCAGGACCCCGACCCCCCCCACACTCACACACACACCCCGCCTTACAGGGCAAAGGGAGGGAGAGCAGGAATGGGCTGGGAAGCAGGTGACCCAGGGTGCAGGGCGGTGGGGTGGGAAGGAGCACATCCCGGGCCGAGCCACCTAGGCACCTAGGTTGAGATGTGGGGGGGGGGGAGGTCTCGCACGCCTTGGAGCCTCAGTTTCCCCAGCTGAAGCTGGGGTCAGGGCTAACCCCCAGCTCCCAGGCTCAGAGCGCGTGGGGGGCGCCTGCACAGGCCTGGAGAGGAAGGCCCGGAGCCGGGGACTGTCATGTTCGCTGTGTCCACAGGGTGGCACTTCCTTCCTTCCTTCCGCCCTTTGTCTTGGGAAGGTTCCAAAATGCCTCTGGGGGTGAAGGCTGAACGGGCGCCCGGGAAGCGCGGGCCGGAGGCCGCTCGATAATTGGTTGATTGACTGATTCCAAGCTCAGCCGCGCGGCAAAAGGGCCAAATGAGCGTAAATGGCCCGGCAAACCGGAGGGGCCTGGAGGTGACCCGGGAGCAGGCGGGGAGGGGGCAGGACGTGGTCCCCGTGTCCCCGCGGAGGGCGCCGCCCGCAGCCAGAGGGGCGGGCGCTTCTGGTCTCTGGCCTCGGCCGTTTTGTGCTCCAGGACGAGTGACCGGCTTCCTTCCTCGGGGCGCCCGTGGCGACACTGCATGTGGCCCACACGCGGGACTCGGAGCTTCATGACAAGTGACAGCAAGCCCTTGGCGGGGATGAATGTGGCTGCTCCCCAGCGCGGCCCCTGAGCACGGGGCAGTGTCAAGCGCCCATTTCACAGATGGGCAAGGGGAGGCTCGGGTGGCTGGGCTCAGCTCACACGGCTCTCGGGGAGGACCTAGAGGCCACCCCTTGCCTTCCCCTACAGGCTGCGAGGGGTGGAGTGGGGGGTTCTTGGGGCTCGGACAGGGTCCCCTACCGGCCCCCCGTGGGACTCCAGGCCTGCACGCACCGCCAGCTCCCGGGCCTGTGGGTTCAGCACCAGAGCACCGCGACGGAGCCGGTTCTGGGGGGCACGGGACTCTGCAGCTCAGGGGACTGTCACCCCCAAGGACAGGGTGGGGGACTGGCAGTCCCCTGCGCCTTGGCTCTGAGGGCTCAGCAGCTCCGGCCAGGGCAGGGTGGGTGGCGCGAGGAAGCTGCTCCCCTGGGCTTGGTACCCCCAACTCTGTCCTCTGCTGCCCCCCACCCCCACCGGCGGCCCAAACCACAGCTGCCTGCGGTGAGTCAGGCTGGAGCCTGCGGGGCGAGCCCAGGTCCGGGGGAGGGGAGGGCTGCCCGCACCCTGCAGCTTCCCCAGCCAGCCCCCCTCCACTGTGAGGGGTTAGGACCTACTTCGGGCCCCCCAGAAGTGAATTCTCCGACGGCGGGGTGTGGGAGAGGCTGAGGGCCCCGACGGGGGGTGAGCCCTGGGCACACCATCCACCCCCCAGCAGGGCAGCGGCCGGGGCAGGAGGGGTTGGAGGCGGGGCAGCCCTGGGACTCCTGGGTCTGGTCCAGCCTCCCCTCCAGGCGGCTCGGGTTTCAGCCCTGCTTCCTGCCCTGGTGGAGGGGCTGCCTCCTCCCCGAGCCCCGCCCTCCCAGGCCCAGCTGCTCTGCTCACCCTGGCCTCTGCTCCCACACTGGGCCTGGGACGGAGTGGGGAGAGCTAGGGGGTTCACAGCAAGACCAGCCCCCTAGAAACGCAGGGCTAGAGGAGGGTGGCCTGCGCTCAAAGGTCGTCATCAGGCTCCCTTTTCCTGGGCCCCAAGTCTGGGGTCCTGCCTGACATCTGAAATCCCCCGCAGATCTAATTGTGGACTGCAGGCCCAGTGTGATCCAGCAACCACTCCCTCCTCCCAAACCTGCGTGATCCAGCCCCTTGCCCCACAGTTCCTGCAGGCCTCTTTGCTACCTCTGAGCACTCGCTTTGCACTGGCTGTTCCCTCTGCCTGGAACACCACCTCCACACTTCCGTCTCCTGGGGGCTCAAGTCTGGGCTCCAGTGACACCTCCTCTCCAGGGCCTCCTACAGAGCCTCCCCCGACAGCAACAGCATTGATCACTAGCTGACAGTTGGAGTTTAAATGCCCAAACTCTGGATCCAGGTCAAATCCTGGCTCTGCCCCTCAGCTGTAAGAACTAACACAAATAACTTGACCTCTCCATGACTCAGTTTCTTCCTTCTCAACCCACTGGTCTTGGCCTTCACGGGAGTGTGGCTCCCTGACAGGGGTGCCGGGGCAGGGCACCAGTCAATCACAGATGCCCAGTTCACATTTCTGAGTCAATCAGGGAGTGTCCCCAGGAACCCCAGCACTGTCATGACATCCTGCAACCAGTCTTTCCAGCCTCTCCCCAGCCAGGCCAGAGAGATCAGGTCACGGCCTCACATCCAAGAACAAGGTTCAAATCCATCCTTGGACATCCATCCCCCAGGCACACACACTCACTGGGACCCAGGCCCTTGATCTAGAAACTAGGAGCAGCTCTGACCACGGCTCAGACCAGGACTGGGAGTGGGGGACACTGGGAGGACCCACCCATGGCGATGAAGGCCTGGGGGTTCAGAGGAAGAGGCCGAGCGGGACCCTCGGGGGCAGCCAGGCTTAGGACTTTACCAGCGACTGCCCAGTGTGAGGCCTTCGCTCCCAGCAGTCCCTTGACGCTTTCCCCAGAAACACCAATGGCAAGCTGGGTCAGCTGGGCATCCGGACACTTGCCTCACAGCCACCTGTCAATAATGCCTTTATCTAGAACTTCAGCTTTACCACTCCATCAACGCAGGCGTGAGTTCCAGTCATTGCTTGGCCTCTTTCTACCCGGGTAGCCTTGGAAAAGGCCCAGCCACCTCAGAGGCTGTTTCTCCTCTGAAAAGCCTGAGATGCTCCTCCATGGACCCTACAGCCCCACTGTGGGGGTTCAGACTCCAGGGGTGTCATTGTCCTGTGACTGTCAAGCCTGGATCACGCCATGCCTGTTTCCCCATCTGTAAAATGAATACTCTTTACTGGCTTGGGATGGTGCTGGGCCCGTGCTGGCCCTGGGGTGGGGGTGGGGGGGGTGCAGGAGGAAGGGTGGGGGGTGAGGGGGTCAAGCCTCAGCTCGACAGGTGCAAGGCCAGTGACCTGGCTCCCCACTCCCTGGTCCTGGGGACACGAATCTTGCTTCTACCTCCACCGGGCTGGGCCCAACACTCCGCATGCCTGTGGCCGGCCTCCAGAAATCAAGAGCTGGTGACCACTGGTGACCATTGCCGCTTGGGTGGCTCTCCAGAGGAACGACAAGCAGGAATGGGGGTAGGGGTGCAGGCTGGAGGTCTGAGGCTGTCTTGCTGGCTGTCCCAGGCATCCAGCCAGCACTGGGCAGTGAGTCAGGGCCCAGGCATGCGGAGGGCCGGGGCCTCTCCAGGCCCCTGTGAGCTCAGGCACCTCCCTGAACCCGCCCGCCAGGCCACGTTCCTTACTGGCTTGCTCACTCCTTCGGCCAGACCCGGGGCTGCCCGGGTAGACGAGAGGAGCACGGCCACTCTGAGCCTGGGCTCACGCAGCCTCCCCGAGGGGACCTTCCTCCTGGGGAAACTGAGCTCCGAGCAGGCCAATACCTCCTTGGCCTCCGCCCAGAGCCAAGCAAAGGGACTGCCTGGAGGGAGACCGGCCCGTGGAGGGCTTTAGGGCCAGGGCCAAGGGCACTCCTAGGTTCTGGTCTGTAACATCCCGCCCCCCACACCTGCTCTCTCCCGGGCACTCGGTTTGATAGCCGGCAGGTCTGCTGGATCAACCGCGGGACACATGCCTCATTGCCTGCCCCTGAGCTGGGCTGGGGCTGCTCTGACATGCTCACGGGGCCCACTAGAGTGGGGGGCGCTCCTGGCACCCTCACCCACGCGGCTGGGCAGGTGGAGGCCAGCTGTGTTAGCAGGAATGCCCATCAAGGTGACAGCAGCTGCTGAGCCGACCACATGTGGATGCCTGGCTGGTTCTTGGCTGAGGCTGCAAGGCCAGAAAGGCAGGGGTGGGGGTGGAGAGAGGAGGGGGGAGGGGGCAGGGAGGAGACGACTGCCTCCTGTGTGCTCCACATTTGTCACGACTGAGGGGGTGCTCCTGGCATCCAGAGGGTGAGGGCCAGGAATGCTGCTACATGTCCTACAGCGTCCAGGACAGCCTGTGAGAATGACTGGCCCCGATGTCCCTAGGGCTAGGGTGAGAAAACCATGGCCAAGGTCAAGTTTTCTGGAGGCCGATGGTACAAAGAGGGGGCTCTGCGCCCATCTCATGCCATAAAAGACCTTACTGATCTTGAAAATCAACAGCTCAGGAGGGCTTATGTGACCACTTACTCGAACACATAAAGTCAAGCCCTTGGCATAAAAACAGGGCCTCCGAAGCTCTGGGAATCTCTGTGAACCGAATGACCTGGTCCGTCTCCCTAGTCCTAGAGCCCAGGCTCCCTTGCCCCAGAAGCTGCAAGGGTGACCTGGACAGACTGTCCGATGCCCATGACACACTCAGATGCTGCTAGACTTGCTGCTTATGCTCCCTCTGCCTAGCACGCCTCCTCTCCAATTATAAAAAACTGTCACATTTGCACTTACTAGAAACAGAGCAGTTACAGAGGCGTGCACGAAACCCCAGACCCTGAGGACCCAGAGGCTTGTGGGACCATAACAAATCTACTGACAAGGCTGCATATAGAAGGTGGCTGGTTAAGTTTGAGGGAGACCAACTTCCCCTTCCCTACCCTCAGGCAGGCGGGCCGTAAGCGTCCCATTCTTAGTGGTACCCCAAATCACTGAGGATGGCGGATAAGGGAACATCTAGAATGGCCTGGGTCGTATGCTGCATCAAGTAGATTTACATCAGGAGCACGGGACTCTTGCTCTCGTAGTGAGTTCGTGCCCAATGTTGGGTGGAGATTATAAATATACAGACTAAAAAAGGGCAGCCCCGGTGGCCCAGTGGTTTAGCGCCACCTTCAGCCCAGGGCCTGATCCTGGAGATCCGGGATCTAGTCCCACGTCAGGCTCCCTGCATGGAGCCTGCTTCTCCCTCTGCCTGTGTCTCTGCCTCTCTCTCTCTCTCTGTCATGAATAAATGAATAAAATCTTAAAAAAAAAAAAAAACGAAATGTGGAACTCAACATCAAAAAAAAAAATTTAGCTGTTTGTGATAAAAAAAAAATAAGTAACAGTGGCACACACAACATAACTTAGTGTTCCCTTCCTCCACACAGAGAGGTCCAGGGCTGGGGCACCTCGCTGGTTTAGTTGGTCATGTCCGACTCTTGATCTCAGCTCAGGTCTGGATCTCTGGGCCATGAGTTCAAACTTCAATGTTGGGCTCTATAGTGGGTGTGGAGCCTACTTAAAAATAAAAATAAAAAATAAAAAAAAAGGGATCCCTGGGTGGCGCAGCGGTTTGGCGCCTGCCTTTGGCCCAGGGTGTGATTCTGGAGACCCCGGATCGAATCCCACGTCGGGCTCCCGGTGCATGGAGCCTGCTTCTCCCTCTGCCTGTGTCTCTGCCTCTTTGTCTCTCTCTGTGTGACTATCATAAAATAAATAAAAATTAAAAAAAAAAATCCAGGGGGACCTAAGTGGCTCAGTCAGTTAAGCAACTGAATCTTTTGACTTTGGCTCCGGTCATAATCTCAGGGTCAGGAGATGGAACCCTGCATCAGGCTCCACCTTCAGCATGGAGGTGGCTTGTCCTTCTCCCTCTATACCCCCCTCACTCGCACACACTCTTTCTCAAATAAATAAGTAAATAAAATCTTAAAAAAAAAAAAAAAAAGTCCAGTGCTGATACCTGGGTTCCACAGTCATCGGGGAACCAGGCTCCCATCGACCCTAGAGAACTGCATCCCTCCTTACATATGGCAACATGACTACCAGGGCTCCAGCCAGCACTTCCATATTCCAGTTCTGGGCACAGAGTGCCTAACTTCAATCACAAATGATAAAGACCCAGGATTTGTTATCACACACACTATGGCATCATCTGTATAGTGTCGCCAGAGATGTGAGGCTACGGTCTGGCAGTTAGGGTAGTTCTCTATGGTTACCCAGCCAAGGCCAGTCCAGCAACTGAGGCCGAAGGCAGAAAGACGCGCAGTAAAAAACCCTTTTGTGTATAAACATTTAATTTTAAGCTCATCTCACCACTGAGGCACCACCCACCCTCCACGGCAGATCCGTGCTGTGCGCAAACATGTCCTCGAGGCTCCTGGCTACCAGTCCGTGTCCACCAGGTTCCAGAGGTAGTCGCTGATGAACTTCTTGGAGAGCTGGGTGCTGTCCAGGTGGATGGGCTGTGCGATACTGGGGCCGTGATGGACTATAGGGCAGATGTAAGGAAACCTGACATGCACGGCCCACCCCGTGACCCCAAGAGGAAAGGATACTGCCTTTAAAAAAATGTTACTAAGATATATAGAGACCAAACGAGACTTTTGTAAACAAAACGTTGAATTCTGGGCACCTGGATGGCTCAGTGAGTTACATGTCTACCTTTGGCTCAGGTCATGATCCCAGGGTCCTGGGATGGAGCCCCTCATTGGGCTCCCTGCTCAGTGGGGAGTCTGCTTCTCCTTCTGCCTCTCCCCCTGCCCACATGCTCTTTCTCTCTTGAATAAATAAATAAATAAAATCTTTTTAAAGGGACACCTGGGTGGCTCAATGGTTGAGCACCTGTCTTCAGCCCAGCACATGTGCTGGGGTCCCGGGATCGAGTCCCACATCAGGCCCTCTGCATGGAGCCTGCTTCTCCCTCTGCCTGTGTCTCTGCCTCTCTCTCTTTCTGTCTCTCAAGAATAAATAATAAAATCTTTTTAAAAAATTTTTTAAGTTAAATTCTGATAATGTACTATCTTTTTAAAAAACTGGTGAAAAAAAAAACCAAAATACAATAAATAAAATAAAATAAAATAAAAATAAAATAAAATAAAATATAAAATAAAAATAAAATAAAATATAAAATAAAAAACTGGTGAAATAGGCAGCCCGGATGGCTCAGTGGTTTAGCATCGCCTTCAATCCAGGGTGCGATCCCGGAGACCTGGGATCGAGTCCTGCATCGGGCTCCTGCATGGAGCCTGCTTCTCCCTCTGCCTGTGTCTGCCTCTCCCCCTCTCTCTGTGTCTCTATGAATAAATAAATAAAATCTTAAAAAAAAAAAAAAAAAGAAAACATAGGGCAGCTCCGGTGGCTCAGAGGTTTAGCGCCACCTTCGGTCCCAGGGCATGATCCTGGAGGCCTGGGATCAAGTCCCACGTCAGGCTCCCTGCATAGAGTCTGCTTCTCCCTCTGCCTCTCCCTCTCTCTGTCTCTCATGAATAAAATAATCTTTAAAAAATAAAAAAATAAAATAAATAAAATAAAAATAAAAAACTGGTGAGATACATACAAAATAGACCATGGGAACAAGCTCAGTGGCATGAAGTACATGCATATGATGTGCAGCCATCCCCACCCCCTGGCCCCCGGTGCCCACCATCTACTTCGTCTCTGTGGATCTGACTCCTCTCGGGGCCTCCTGGCAGCGGAATCAGACAGTAGTTCACTTTTTGTGTCTGGTTTGTTTCACTTAACATCACGTCCTCCAGGTACACCCGTGTTCTAGCATGTGCCAGAATTTCCTTCCTTCCTAAGGCGGAATACTATTTTATCGCACGGAAACACAATAGTTTGCTTATCTAGCACTTTGCTGCTAGATGATTGGGTTGTTTCCACCTCTTGGCTGTTGGGACCAAGGCAGTTAGGAACACAGGTGTGCAAATACCGGTTCAAGTCCCGGCTTTCGGTGTCTTTGTGTTTATCCCCAGAAGGGGTACTGCTGGATCCTGTGGGGACTCTGGGGGGACCTGCCAGACTGTTTTCCACAGCGGCCTGGCGCTTTGCGTGGCCACCAGCAGGCGCACGGGGCTCTGCTTTCTCCACAAAGGATACTGCCTTTGACCATCCCCGGCTCACACTCGTAGTCCCACTCAATTTTACTGACTCGGTGATAAAGCTGAGCCACGTACCTGTATGAGAACACGAAAGGAGAGAGGGAGGGAGAGAAGCCAGTTACCCCAGTGCAGACTCCAGCTCAGGGCTGCGGGGTACGCACACGCCAGCACACGCGCTGGGGGGACATACACGGCTGAGGGGATGGTGACGGTTGTGTCTTCGTCAACTTCCCTCTCCTGTCTCTCGAGACCGGCCTCAACCTCCTTGAGCTCCTCCAGCTCTGTGGTGAGCTGAGTAAAGCAGGCAGTTAAGGTCACCTCACTGGAGGGGGGTCTCGGGCGCTAACCCAGCCTCTCTGGGCCCAGGGCCCCCCTGGCTCCAAGCGGGGTCCCTGGCTTGAACCAGCGGGCGACCCCGGGGTGAGCCCGCGGCCCGGCCTTCGGCGCACGAGGGAAGGATATAGGAGGCTGGCCTTCAGATGCGTGTTCTTCTCGCCGGCCTTCTGAAGCTCAGCTTTGAGCTGCTGCAACTCGACCCCACTCTGGTGCGCCTGCTCCTTCTCATCAAGGAGGCGCTGGGCCACTTCTTCCTCCGTGGCCAGGATCTCTGTGGAGGGTGAGGGGGAGAAGGCTGAAGTCCTACAAAGAGGTTTCTCCAGGGTCTGTCTTTGCCCCAGAAGAGCCGAGGACAAAGCCGGGGCCGGGGCCGGGGGCCGGGGCCGGGTGGGGTGGGTAGGGAGGTTCATCTGCCTGAGGCCTCAGCCACTCCTCCCGTCCCTGTCTATGGATCCCCAGGGACCTGCTGATCCTATTTGCAAATTGTAAAAGTGCTTCCATTTCACCAAAACACACCTGAATCCTCCAAAAAAAAAAAAAAAAAGAACGAATGAACGATAAAGTAATCAATCAATCCAGTCCTTTGCACACCAGTCTTAATGTATAGTGTCCGGGTCAACCTTGCTGCCCAAGCAAGAAGCCTGGCACTCACTTTCCACATCCAATTAGTGATCCAGGCCTGCCCAGTCCCCTACTCCTGCCCCCACTGCAATCCCCTCACGGGTCCCTCAAGGATCACCCAGATTCCCCTTAACACCTTGCTTTGGTCTCTGCTGTTGCCAGTTCCTTCTGCTCTCTGCCTCCAGAGTGACTGCCTTAGAGACCAAATGTGAAGTCACTCCCCTGCTCGAAGATCATCCATGGCTCCCTAGTATCTCCAGGATAAGATCCCGGTCCCTCTGAGCATCTTTACCTTCCCCGACGGCCTCCTTTCTGCCTGCTTTTCACCCCCACACATACTCTTCTCTCTGCTCCGGCTACAAAGACACCTCATCATTCTGCAAACAAGCCCCATCCTTCACAGGCCTGGGCCTCCACCTGCCTGTCCTCTGTGGGATGCCGCTGTGCTCCTGCCTATCAGGCACTCCTGGACCCAGTCTTCCAGACTTCCAGGCAGTGCTTGCCTCAGGCAGCTGGACACTCTCCTCTCCCTCCCAGCGCACGGCCATGCTTCCATGACAGCCCCGCCAGCACTGAATGAGTCATTCTTCCTCTTTCTTCCTCGAACCAGGGATTGCATCTTATATTCACCATATATCGCCAGCACCTACTCAGAGTAAACATGCTTTGAACGAAACATCCAGAAAGATCAAAAACACCCTAACAAGGTTACCGTGTTCCTTTCCAGAGAGTTGGAGAAATCTGCCAACTCCAAGAAGGCACAGATGGAAATGCTTCCCAAAGGGCTGGTGTTTAAGTGTTTACAAACTTACATTAAGTTAATTTTTCATCAAAATATTACATGTATATGGCTGTGAAAATTTAAACACACAGAGGAACCCCCCCCCAAGCCTCTCCACCCCTCTGAAGCAGCCACTTTCAACTCATCACTGTTTTCTCTGGCACTGACCTTCACATTTCTAAATAATTTGCTTATGCTGCTATTTCTTGATTTGTCTGTTTTAAACAGTGCCTGCTGACTTCCTGTTAGGATAGCTGGGGATCTGGCTCTGTTCTGCAGCCTTCCTGCCCCTTCTCCCCTCACCTTCCCTATAGACAACTGAGTCTCCTTGGAATCTTCCCTGGGGGCACCCTCCTCCCCGTGGACGCTGGTACAGAGTGCCATCACCTGAGTGTGCACTGAGTGCTGCAGGATGACCTCAGAGCCCCTGCTCGGTGTGTTCTCACAACCCTCTGAGGAGAGTGGCTTAACCCCTGCGCCCCATGGAGAGGTGAGGGACAGAAGCCCAAAAACAGTCAGTGACTTGTCCATAGGCACTTAGCTCTAACATCTGGATCTGATCTGGATCCCAGCCCCAACTCCATCCATAATGCTAAACCCCAGGCAGGCTGGGTGATGCCATCCTTCTCCCCAAACCATCAATCGAGTGGGGAGTGGGGAGGAGAGAGGAGAGACAAGAAGAGAGAGGAGGAGAAGAGGAAGACTGACTGAGACATCCACCACACTTAAAACAACCTCCAGGGACGCCTGGGTGGCTCAGCGGTTGAGTGTCTGCCTTCGGCTCAGGGCGTGATCCTGGAGATCCAGGATCAAGTCCCACATTGGCTCCCTGCACGGGGCCTGCTTCTTCCTCTGCCTCTCTCTGTCTCTGTGTCTCTCGTGAATAAATAAATAAAATCTTTAAAAAATAAAAAATAAAACAACCTCCAAACTCCTCCTGGGTGCTCACTGCCGGCAGAGTCTGGTTGTGGTTGACCTCACCTTCACTGCTTTCTCCTGGGTCTCCAAGTTCACTCTCATCTCATGACCTTGGCATTTCCAGTCACCTCTGCCAGGAACACTCTTCCCCCAAGCCATTCCCTGCTTAGCTCCTAGGTCATTTCAGTTTCAATCTAAATAGCATCTCCACATGAAACGTAACTGTAAAAAGACATTTAAAAAAAACCTGGCACCAAAATCACTATAGAAAACTGGAGGACACTTTCTCAAAAAATTAAATATCAAATTACCATGTGAGCTAGCAATTCCACTTCTGGGAAAATACAAAAAAGAATTGAAAGCAGGGACCCAAAGAGATATTTGAACACCCATGTTCATGGCAGCATTATTCACAACAGCCAGGGGCTGGAAGCAACCCAACTGTCCATCAATGGAGGAATGAACAGAGGCAGCCCAGGTGGCTCAGCGGTCTAGCGCCGCCTTCAGTTCAGGGCGTGATCCTAGAGACCCAATATTGAGTCCCACATCGGGCTCCCTGCATGGAGCCTGCTTCTCCCTCTGCCTGTGTCTCTGCCTCTCTCTCTCTCTCTCATGAATAAATAAAATCTTAAAAAAAAATTAAAAATGGACAAATGAACAAACAAAATAAGGTATGTCCACACATTGGAATATTATTCAGCCCTAAAAAATGAAATTCTGACATGTTACAACATGGATGATTCTTAAAAACACTGCACTAAGTGACATATACCAGACACACAACATAAAAAATAATAATAAAAAGAAAATAAGCCACACTAAATTCCAGGATTCCACTTATATGAGGTCTCTAGAATAGTTCATAGAGACAGGAAGTAGAAGGGGCTGGGAGAAGGGGAAATGGGGAGTCAGAGTTTAATGAGTAGTTTTAGTTTGGGATAATGAAAACATTCTGGAGATGGGACGGTGGGGATCGCTGCACAATGATGTGAATGTACTTAATGCCACCGAACAGGACACTTAAAAATCGCTAACATGTTGTGTTTTGTTTTGTTTTTTAGGATTTTATTTATTTATTCATGAGACACACACACACAGAGTCAGAGACATAGGCAGAGGGAGAAGCAGGCTCCCCGCAGGAAGCCTGATGCAGCCCTCGCCCCAGGAACACGACTTGAGCCAAAGGCAGACGTTCAACCACTGAGCCACCCAGGTGCCCCTAAAATGGTAAGTCTTTTATCAATTTTACAACAACAACAACAAAAACCTGGCACTGAGAAAAGCAGTGGCAATGGGTGCTGTCAGCAGTCCCATTTCACAGATGAGGTCACTGAGGCATGGGAGGGAAGCCCCTGGATCGGGGCTCATGAGTTACCTGAAATCCAGATCAGAACCTGGGAGAGCCCCTCACCTGCAGGAGAGGCTTGATGCAGCCCTCCTATGTAGCATGTTAAGATATTTATTAGCAAAGCTTTTCATCCTTCGCTTTAAAGGAGTCTTACATTTGATGGTGTCTTCAATTCCACGTAAACGGTATTATCCATGTAAAGCAGGAAGCACCTTTACCTGCACCGATTTATTTAATCCTCCCTGGCTCTCTCCCAGGCCTCCTTGGGTTTCTACTAAAACATCATCTTTCAGAAGTCTTTCGCTGACCAGCCCCAAAACATCACCACTCCCTCCAACACAACCTAGTTTGTCCTTAGCCCTCCTTAGCCCATCACCTCCTGACATACCCATTTTCTTGGTTTATCTTCTGATCTCCCCTCAGTAGCACTATCAACCCACTAAGGGATATATTGTCTGTTTCGTCCTCTGCTTCCATCCCAGGGCTGACACTCTACCTGGCACACACCAGGTGCTCAGTAAAACAGCTGAACCTCAGTAAGTGGAAATGCTGGCATTAAAACCCAGCGCTCCGACTCCTGAACCCCACTTCGGACCTTGGGTCCCCCAGCTCCTGCTCACGGAACGCTCAGAATTGGACCAGACCCTCTGAGCTCCTACATTCACTAACTCGAGGGCGCCGCCATCCCGAAGCCCATTTCACGGGTGGGGAAACTGAGGTTCAGCGGGCGTAATGTCCATGGGAGAACAGGGCAGGGATGGGGGCGCCCAGAAGGGAGGGACTTGCTGCCCCCAGGCATCACCCGGGTCCCAGCCGCCCCCGGCCCCGCCCCCGGCCCCGCCCCTGACCTCGCAGCCGTTGCTCCGCGAGGTCTTGCGTCTCCAGCAGCCGCTCCACCACCTGCTCGTGGCGTCCCAGCAGCCGCCGTTGCTGCGCCTCCGCGCGGTTGGCACCCAGCAGGCTCAGCAGCCCCTGGCTCACCTCCTCCATGTCGCGGAAGGCCGCCATGACTACGCCAGGACCTTTCCCGCGCAAGTTTAACTGCCCTCAGGGCCCGCCTCTCTCCCCAGGAGCCTCATTCCCATTGGTTTGATCCTCCATCAGTCATCAGGAATGGGCGGGCGGTAGCCGCAGGTCTGGCCTAGTGCGCCTGCGCCGGCTCCTCCTCCGTCTCCGGCAATGGCCAATCGGCGCAGGGAGGTGGGGCTTGTGTCTTTGCGGGAGTCCTGCGTGACGCGCCTGCGCAGGCTGGAAAGCATCTGGCTGCTCCTGAAGTTGTCAGTTTAGCTGTAGCTGCACCAGGGGCGCGGTGCCAGGGGCGAAGCATTGGACCGCCTCTCGTGGAGCTGACGTTCTATAGGGTGTGCGTGGGATGCTCCCAATCAGCGTAATAAATAAGTAAATTCCGTAAGGATGCACAGCAAGCTGGAGCATGCAGCCAGATTTATGGGGTTCGAATCCCACTTCCTAGCTTCCTTATCCTGGGCAAGTGACTTCACCCCTCTGTGCCTCACTTTCCTCGTCAGTAAAATGAGGGTCATAATAGTACCTACGTAGGGGTCGGCGTGAGGATTAAGTGAGGACGGTGCTGAGTATTCAGGGAGCACTATATTAAGGCGTTTAAGAAAACATACATGGAACCCGAGCAGGTGCCTAACTGGCACCAGACACCATGCTGTGTGAAGGGTCCTAGGAGAGAAAAGACAAGCTGCGCATTTATGTGACAAATTTCTCAAACTGAGGTAAAGAAATCTAATTTGGCAGGTCATGACCAGCATTTTCTACAAAATACAACGGGGGAAAAAATCAGTGCATGTGCAGAAAGTTAAGCATTGTTTTTGGGAAACTCCAAAATCTGCGAGTACTGGGTGTGACAGATTATATTTTCAAAAATTGAATACAGAAATAGTTCCAACCTAGCCACTCCCCGTCCAGAGGCACACTCTCATTCTCCTCCTTTTGAGCTTCAGCAGGACTTGGTGCAGCAAATAAAATGTGGCAGAAAGGGGATCCCTGGGTGGCTCAGCAGTTGAGCACCTGGCTTTGGCCCAGGACACGATCTTGGAGTCCTGGGATCGAGTCCCACATTGGGCTCCCTGCATGGAGCCTGCTTCTCCCTCTGCCTGTGTCTCTTCTTCTCTCTCTCTGTATCTCTCATGAATAAATAAAATCTTTTTTTTTTAATGTGGCAGAAAGGATACTGTGAATTACAAGCCTTGGTCGGAAACTAGGAGGCAGCTTGTGCCTGGTGCTAGCTTGTGCAATCTCTTGCTCTCTTGCCCTCTCTCAGTTTTGGGGGTACTCAGAGCCCAGCTGCCATGTTGTGAGGAATCCGAGGTGATGTAAAGAATCTCCCAGAGGAGGTCGCAGTAGAAGCCAGCATCAACCACCAGACCAGTGAGTGAGCACAGAAGTGATTTTAGTCGCCACCCTTCGAGCCATCCCAGCTGACAGCAGGAGGAGCAGAGATGAGCTGTCCCCACCAAGCCCTGCTGAAACTGCAGATCTGTGAGCAAGATCATTGCCATTGTTTAAAGGCAGTAAATTCGGGAATATTTTGTTATGCAGCCTTAACATGTGGATTGCTGGGTCCCATGTGAAATTTCTGCCTACTGTGGGTCACACAAAGGGCATCAAAGGCCACTGCTCTAGTGGCAAGACCTCACAATAAGCAAGGAAACAAATGAACAGAATCATTTTAGATAGGGACATTCACTTTGAAGATACTCCAACCCGGTCTAGGAAAGCGTCACTGGAGTTGGGGGCAGGGAAGGAAGTGACTTTAGGCTGTGTGGGCAGGGGCAGGGATGGACTCCCTGGACAGGGGACATATGAACCATGAACTAGGATCTGAGTGATAAAAAGATATTGGGAAACCAGTGCCAGGCAGAAGAAAGAGCATGTGCAAAGGACAATGAAGTGGGGAAATCTTTAATTTGTTTAAGGAATAGTGAGGAGGTCCAAGTGGCTGGAGAGGAGGAAGGAGAGAAGGTTTGGTTTCCAGGGGCCCTGAAGCTTTATTCTGGTTTAACAAGAAGCATTGGAAGGCACTGAGGGAAGGACAGCTATGGAGTGGACTGGCTTCCAGATCTTCCAGAGTCTAGAGAACTCTGTGGCAGGCTGGATATGCAGAATGAGGAAAAGGAAGAAGTTGCTTCCTGGGTGTTTGGCCCAGATACCTGGATGGGTAGTGGTGGCCCAGACGGGGAGGAGCAGGCATGGAAGTGAGGGGCTCCATGAAGTGAAAGGTTTAGAGAAGTGCTTAGTAGCTGGGGAATGGCCACATGGAGCTATGAAGAAGATAATGGCTTGGCTATGAGTCTGTAGAGACACTTAGGCTGGGAATAAAAGCCAGTTGTCCAGAGGCACCAGAGACCAGATGCCACACCCTGGAAGAGAATAAGAGGAGGGGATCCAAGGACCAAGCACTGTGATCCTCCAACTGTAGAAACTGTAGAAAAGAGAGGAGGCATAACCGGGGAGAATGGAGAGAAGCTACCACAGAGCAGTCAGAAATGTGATTTTGAAAAAAAAAAAAAAAGAAATGTGATTTTGATTGACCATCAGGACTCTGACAGGTCCCCGATCCCACACCTGGGACCACTTTCTTCCTCAGAGCTTACTTTCTTTTTCTTTTTCTTTTTTTTAATTTTATTTATTTAAGTAATCTCTCCACCCAACATGGGACTTGAACTCACGACCCTAAGATCAATAGTTACATGCTCCTCCAACTGAGCCAGGCACCAGCAGAACTAACTTCCAAGAGACAGTTTTTGAGAAGCCCCCAAGGGCTGTTTTTATGTTTTTACAGTGGTCGTGTAGCAAGGGACACACTTAGGGCCGATAGATTTATTTAATCTTACCCAAGAGGACGCCTGGTGGCTCAGCGGTTAAATGCCTGCCTTTGGCCCAGGGAGTGATCCTGGAGTCCGGGGATTGAGTCCCACGTCAGGCTCCCTGCATGGAGCCTGCTTCTCTCTCTGCTTGTGTCTCTGCCTCTCTGTCTGTGTCTATCATGTATAAATAAATAAAATCTTAAAAAAAAAAATCTTACCCAGGTCACAGATCTCTTTGAAATTTGATAAAAGGAATGACACAGGCTCTTCCTTGAAAAATACACGCAACATCCACATCTGTTAGGATTTTGTACATATTTTGGGTTTAGGACCCCAGAGGGCCATCCCCAGATTTTTAGGTTAAGAAGCTCCCCAGCCTTTGTCTCATGGAGTAGCTAGCAGATGTATAAGTGGTGAGAGTCTTGCAGAAACATCAGTGTGTGGGCATGGAGTTGGGTCCCTGGAGTCAGCACCTACGGTGAGCAATGCTCAGCTCCTCTTGGCTGAGTATTTATGCTAAGATTGCTATGTCACCCTCATCTGTGTGACCTTTGGTGGCAGGGGCTCACATTCTCTGTGTCTAAAGGGGGTGGATTACTTAACAATGCAGAGTGAAATAATGAGGAGATAAGACGTCAGGGGTTCAGTTTCTGGTTCTGCAGATTACCTGTGACCTTGGCAAGCTCTTAACCTTACTAAACCATGGGCTAATGATAGCTCTCTCTTATCAGCTGGGGTGGGCTGTTCACAAGATAAGCCATTTGAGATTGCACAACCATAGCCTGACAGATATAAATGCTCCTGTCAAAAAAAGGTCACTCACCTCCCTTCCAAAAAGCAAAGCAAGAATCACCTCACAACCATTAGGATGGATATATTAAAAAAAAAAAAAAAGTATTGGCCAGGTGGTGGGGAAATCAGAACTCTAGAGCATGGAGGGTGGGAATGTAAAATGGTGCAGCAGCTATGGAAGACTATGGCAGTTCCTCACAAAATTAAAAATAGAATAACCCAGCACTTTTATTTCTAGGTATATACCCCCAACACTGAAAGTGAGGACTCAGAGATATTGCGACACTCGACATTATTTACAATAGCCTCAAAGGTGGAAGCAACCCAAGTGTCCGTTGATGGGTGTTTGAACAAAATGTGGTGTATCCATTCGAATGGATATTTAGTCTTAAAAAGAAAATTCTGACAGATACGACATGGGTGACCCTTGAGGACATGGTGCTAACTAAAATAAGCCAGTCATAAAAGGATGACCACAGCATGACTCCATCCTTTTTTTTTTTTTAAGATTTTATTTATTTGGGATCCCTGGGTGGCGCAGCGGTTTGGCGCCTGCCTTTGGCCCAGGGCGCGATCCTGGAGACCCGGGATCGAATCCCACATCGGGCTACCGGTGCATGGAGCCTGCTTCTCCCTCTGCCTGTGTCTCTGCCTCCCTCTCTCTCTCTCTCTGTGACTATCATAAATAAATAAAAATTAAAAAATTAAAAAAAAAAAGATCTTATTTATTTATTCATGAGAGACAGACACTGAGGAGAGAAAGGCAGAGACACAGGCAGAGGGAGAAGCAGACTCCTCGCAGGGAGCCGGATGCAGGACTCGATCCCAGACCCTGGGACCCATGACCTGAACTGAAGGTAGGCGCCCAACTGCTGAGCCACCCAGGCGTCCCTCCACCTTTTTTTTTTTTAAGGTTTTATTTATTTATTCATGACAGACACGCAGAGGCAGAGACATAGGAAGAGGGAGAAGCAGGCTCCCTACAGGGAGCCCGATGAGGGACTCGATCCCAGGACCCCGGGATCATGACCCGAGTCAAACGAAGACAGTCACTGAGCCACCCAGGTCCCCCTTCATGACTCCACTTACTTGAAGTCCCTTCAGTAGTTAAATTCATAGAGACAAAAAGTAGACCAACAGTAGCCACGTTGGGATGGGGTGCAGGTGGTGAAAAGTCGGTGTTTAATGGGCACAGGTTCAGTTTGGGAAGAGGAAAGTCCTGGAGATGGACAGTGGGGATGGTTACACAACAGTGTGAATGTGCTTCACATCACTGAACTGGACACTCAGAAATGGCTTCGATGGGGGGGCGGGTGCCGGCTGGTTCAGTCACTGGAGTGAGCGACTCTTAATCTTGAGGTTGTGAGTTCAAGCCCCCTACTGGGTGTAGAGATTACTTTAAAATAATCTTTAAAAAATGGCTTAGATGGTAAAGGTCATGAATATTTTACAACTAAAAATAAAAATATATATATTAGAAAAAAGTAAAGCAAGAAACTGGGTGGTGTTGGGGAACAAGGGAACAAAATATGAGCTGAATGAGTTAACAATGACAAGATGGTCCTCAGCAATTGCTTCTGGAAGGCCTCTTGACTCACAGACCCCTCTAGAAAACTGACGGGAGTAGACCTTTTAGTTCAGAAATACGTAACTTTCCAGAGGGAAAACAAGAAGAGAGGTAAGGAGAGCCATCTTTAAAATCACCCTTGAGGGGGATCCCTGGGTGGCGCAGCGGTTTAGCGCCTGCCTTTGGCCCAGGGCGCGATCCTGGAGACCCGGGATCGAGTCCCACGTCGGGCTCCCGGTGCATGGAGCCTGCTTCTCCCTCTGCCTGTGTCTCTGCCCCTCTCTCTCTCACTGTGTGCCTATCATAAAAAAAAAAAAAAAAAAAAAGTAAAGATTGGGAGTTTCACAAAGAGTATTTCTAAAATAAAATATAAAATAAAATAAAATAAAATAAAATAAAATAAAATCACCCTTGAGGGAAGTGAGGGGCAGGACCCAGGGAAAGGCAGCGGGGATGCTCCACCTCTTGTCCTGCCGCTGACCTAGGGATACTGTTTGTCAAAAGTCATAAAGTTATATACACTTTTGTACATGGTGGGTGCACAAAATGTATGCATATGATGCCTTGATAAAAAATCAAACAGCAAAACACAATGTTAAAGATTCAACTTATTAGAAAAAGCTTTGGCAGGAGATACCCCAGTGAGCTGACAACAGCAGACATTTCCACCAATTGGAACCATGGCATCTTCCACTATGCCAAACATTTCTATATTATTTTTTAAACTTTTTAAATATTTTTTTTGTTCTTTTTTAAAAATTTTTTATTTATTTATGATAGTCACAGAGAGAGAGAGAGGCAGAGACATAGGCAGAGGGAGAAGCAGGCTCCATGCACCGGGAGCCCGATGTGGGATTCGATCCCGGGTCTCCAGGATCACGCCCTGGGCCAAAGGCAGGTGCCAAACCGCTGCGCCACCCAGGGATCCCACTTTTTAAATATTTTATTGATTGACAGGGAGAGAGATCACCAAGGGAAAGGGAGGCAAGCAGGCTCCCCGCTGAGCAAGGAGACTGATATGGGGCTCAATTCCAGGACCCCAAGATCATGACCCGATGGAAGATGCTTAACCAACTGAGCCACCAGGGTGCCCTCATTTCTGTATTTTTAGAATTTTGCCTTTTGCAATCACTATGAAGTATTTTATCATGAGGGAAAAAAATATCAGTAAAGATTTTTTTCTGTGGTGTTCACAGTAGGTGTTCATTAAAACTTTCTGCAGGGGCGCCTGGGTGATGCAGTTTGACTCTTGGTTTCAGCTCAGGTTCTGATCTTGGAGTCATAGCATCGAGCCCCATGTCGGGCTCTGTGCTCAGTGGAATCTGCTTGGGACTCTCTTTCCCTCTTCCTCTGCCCCTCCTGCTCTAAAATAAATAAATCTTAAAAAAAAAAACTTTATGCAAACATGGCAATGTTCTATACCTCCACAGTTCAATACAGTAGCCACCAGGCACGTGTGCTTAAGGAGCACAAATTAATTGTAACTAATTTACATTTAAATGGAAATAGCCACTTGGGATAGAACCCCGTAGTGCAGAGCAGTAGGGAGTTTACCATATTATTCTTGTCACTTTTCTGTTGCTCTGACCATTGTTTGAAATAAGTCCATTTTAATTTTAACGTTTTTTTGAGAGTGCATGTGGGTGGTGGGGAAGGATGAAGCAGAGGCAGAGGGAGAGAATATTCCAAGCAGACCCCAGCTGAGCATGGAGCCCGATGTGGGGCTCCATCCCATGAAACTGAGATCATGACTGGAGCTGAAACCAAGTCGGATGCTTAACTGATCGAGCCACCCCAGACGCCCCCAAAATAAGTTCATTTTTTTAAAAAAGATTTTATTTATTCATGACAGAGAGAGAGAGAGAGAGGCAGAGACACAGGCAGAGGGAGAAGCAGGCTCTATGCAGGGAGCCCAATGCGGGACTCGATCCTGGGACCCGAGTATCATACCCCGGGCTGAAGGTGGTGCCAAACTGCTGGGCCATCGGGGCTGCCCTAAGTTCATTTTTAAAAAGAGATCTATTTTAAAGCTTAAAGAGGAGCATAGTGAGACAAAGACCAGGCACTCGTGTGTGGACATTATCATACGGTAGCTTTATTAAATTCCTTTACCTTCTACAACGCGATTACAAAAAGGAATACTTCATTTAAGTGTAATACTGTCTTTATGGACGTACCGTGGTCAGAAAGTGGAGCTAAAGGTCACGAACGAATACACGTGAGAACAGGGACAAAGGCAGGACGTCCCTGGAGCCTAGTCTAGCACAGCGAGCCCAGTGGGTAGGGGAAGGGAAGCAGGGATGAATAGACTTATCTGGGGGGCGGTGGTGGTATTGTCCATGAGCTGCTTCTAGGAGCTTAAACCCAAGGGCCGGCGCAGGGACCAGACACACAGGCGTACAGCTTTGGTACCACATCTCAAAGCTGCCCAAAGTCCTGGCCTTGTGTCACACACAGCAGTTGTCCCCAGTCAGCTTTGGTTTTGTTTTCTCTCCAATTTACACACACACACACACACACGCACACGCACACATGCACACGCAATCAAGGGTGTCTTCTTTGACCGTCCAAGCTCTTCTGTCTTAGGTACCTCCCTGCTGTCAAAATCAAAGCACGCCAGACTCCATCAAGCCAAGAAACCCCTTCTTTCCTAGGAGAGAAGCCAGCACTTCGCTTTCCTGAATGAACATGAGCACTCAGGGCTCACTCTGTCCAGCTGCGGTTTGGCTCCAACCCTGGCAGCTGAGCTGAGGGGACAGGACGCTGATTAGCTGGGGATCTGACTCCCTGTCTGTCACAAGGCACTTCTCAAGGCTCCGAGCCCATCCCCCACCCACCGCCCCTTTTTTTTCTTGTTCACCAAAGGAAGGAACTGGAAAGAAAACTCTGTTAAGATTCTGGGGACAGAACAGGCCATGAAGGAAACTGTGTGTGTCTGGTGAGCCTGATTTCCAGCAGGCCCTGGTCCAGGCAGCTCCGGAAAGCCCGTAGGTTTTAAAAAAAAAAAAAAAGAAAGAAAGGAAGAAATAAAGAAAGAAAAAGAAAAAAGGAAAAAAAAAAAAAAAAACATCACCAACCCCAGCTGGCCTTTGTTTGGTTTTCCGCAAAGCCCTGTCTCTTTAAGTTTGCACTGGGAGCCCTCGAGGGCAGCCAACTTTTAATTGTGCACACATGGAGTTTCTGGAGCTTGCCCTGTGCTTTGCCAGCAAGCGCATGCCCTGTTTTTTCCCCCCTCCTTTGAGAGAAATTCTGGAGTCTGGGGAGGTGGAAGGCGGCCCCCGTGTTACCAGGGTTCCAAGTCCAGGGACTCGGCAGCTGCTCTGGGAACCGATTTCATTTCCTGCATCCCTAGGTCTGAAGGATTTTCTAGGAAAATTAATATTTGCCAGGGCCTCCACGCAGGGAGGGGACAGATTTCTGGGTGATTCTTGCATGTGAACTGCTCACACATCTCGGCTGCTGGGTCCTGAGCCCCCCTGACTTGGAAGCAGCAGGAAAGACTGAGCTTCCAGCCCTGAGTGACAAGGACAGAATCTGGCTTTGCGAAGAGACCAGAAGAATATTCTACCAAGAAAGTGGTTGGGGGGGGTGGTGGTTGAAGTGGACAAAACACTATTATCTGGCAGACAAGTAAATGTGGGGTGGGCAGTGGGAGGGGGCGGGGGCGTCAAGCCACTCCAGACGTGACCTGCGCATAATGACATTCGGGATTAAAATGAAAATATGCAATTCCAGTGACTTTCAAATTTGGCAACAAGGAATAGGATTTCCCCCACTCCCCCGATAATGACTCAAAAATACGGTATTCTCCTTTTCACCCCGCTCCATCCATAATTGCCAGTTGATTGTTCTCCATGTTCTTCACAAACCCACGCCCCAGCATCAGCCACTGGCGCCAATTTATGGAAGAATTTAGCTCCAGTCTGCGCTGCGGCCGCTTTGAACTGACGTACCAGGGAGAAACCCGCTTTAGGCTGGAGTCTTGTTGCTGTTGCGGGGCTCCTCCTGGGAAGCGGAAGGAAAACCCCACTTGCCTTTGAGACTTGGCCTCGGTGGGTCGGCGTGGGGGCTGGCGAGGGAGGAGACAAGGGGCAAGGGAGGAGGGACGGTTGGTTCTGGGGCTGGTCTCCCTCACGGCTACTCTTCCGCAGAGGATGACGCAGGGCTTTCGTCATCTGACATCGGGGCAAACTGAAACAAGAAGCAGAATTCGTTTTGTTTGGCATCACTGCCAATGCCTACGTGGCGCCAACCTTGTTGGCTGGCCCTGTGGCTGAGGTGAGTGAACAGGAGAACGCGGTCCCTTGGCCTCGAGGAGGGGATGTTCAGAGCAGCACACGAATGCAGAGGAGGATTTTCATCACGGATTAAAGGATGGAGGGGAATGAAAGTGGGGTACAGGTAGTCAGGGCGGGGGCCTTCTGGGCTGAGTGATGCTGAGGGGCCAGCCAAGGGGTGGGCATTCTGGCAGTGGGAGCAGCAAGTGCAAAGGCCCTGAGGCAGGAGAAGCGGACAGGCTGATTGGCCTGAGCAAGGTGCAGAAGAAGAGAGGGGGGGAAGGGAAGGGGTTGGTGCAAGGCTTGGTGGGCTCTGGGATGACTTTGGCTTTTTCTCCAAGTAGGGGGACAGCCAAAGAGTGCTGTGTGCTGAGGAGGGATGTACCCTAACTCGGGGGTTCACGATGACCTCTGGTTGCTGTGGGGAGTACAGACTGGAGGAGGCAGTGAGGGTGGGGTGCCAGGGTGGAGGCAACAGCAGTGGTCCAGGAGGACAAAGATGGAGGACTGGGGTCTGTCCCTCAGGAGTCCCTGGGGGCAGACCACGTATCAGACAACAGGTTATCACCTGGTCCTAACACTCCCATCTTCCAGTTGAAAAAAACTGAGGCTGAGCTGATCCCTAGGTGATGCTCTGAGCACAACTGTCCCAGGTGACCCAACACCCCGGGGAATGAAGCTGGAAAAACCTAGAGCCTTAGTAAGAAGCCGAAGACCCCTTCTGTTTGGGGGGGGGGTCACTGTAGTCAATGCTCACCATGCCACCCCCGAGCCGGGTCCCAGATGTGCCTCAGGGAGGCCAGAGCAAGTGCAAGGTAGAGTGAGGAGGAAGGAACATGAGATTCCTGCCCAAGGTCTGGAGTCATATGCCCCCCGGGGCCTCCACCCCTTCCTATCCGTGGGACTTTGGGCTGTTGGGGGGAAGGGGGCTGTAACCATTCTAAGCCTCAGTTTCCCCACCAGAAAAATGGAAATGATAACAGTACTTTGTATAGCTGAGTCAGGCTCTTGTGGAGGGTTCGAGAAATCATGGCTGAGAGGCACTTAGCATACAGTCCATCAGACTGGAAGAGCTTGTCTCCTCCATCAGACAAGGGTATCGTTTTAGAGACCTATGAAGAGTGCCCCTGTCTCCTCCTTCAGACTGGAACAGCTCTCTCCTCCATCAGACACTTAGGATAGAGCAAGTATCAAAATTATCCTGTCAGGCTTCCTGAGAGTGTTTTGCTAACAGGCATGATTTACTTTTTTCCTTTTTTTTTTTTTTTTTTTTTGTGCATGATTTCTTAAAAAACCCTGGTTTCTATGCTCAAATAGAGAAATGCCAAGTTAGACACAGGTTAGGTTTCTTTACAGGGAGACATGTCAAGGTCTTTCATACACTGACATGCGTCGACTAAAAGCCAAAGTCCTCACCATGGCCCAAAAGATCCTTCATGATCTATGGAATCACCTCCTCGCTTTCATCTCCTCCCCTTGGAGCCCTTGATGCTCCACACCACACCAAGCATGCTCCTGCCTCAGGGCCTTTGCAACGGCTGTTCCTTCTGCATGCACAGTCACACAATTCACTCCTCCTCTTCCTCAGTAGGTCCCCACTCTCACTGTCCCTCTTATCCTGTTTCAGGTTTCTTTCCAGCTGCTACTGTCCCCTGGCTACACAGTGATTTGCATATTTTGTATCTTGCTACGATGCCTGCTCTGTGGGGGCAGAAGCCATTTCCTGTTTGGTTCAGGGCTGTGACTACCAGGGCCTATCACGCAGTGGGTGCTCCGTAAATATTTCTCAAATGAGTGGATGGTAATTAAGAGCATGCATTTGGAACCAGACAGATCCAGGTTCAAATGCTATTATGTAGTCTCAGCTGTCCGTGCCTCATTTCCTCATGGGGGCACTGGGAAGGTTCAACAAGCATGGGCCGCACACAGCACCAGCCCAGAGTCCCCACCGCCCACCCTGCCAGGGTTGACACTCACAGAGCACTTGATGTTCATGCGAGAGTACAGCATGGATGCGATTTCACTCTGCCCGGCGTCCAAGGCCACCATCAAAGCTGTGCTCCCGTCCTGTAAGGCATCCACTGCTATGACGAGGCCCCGAGCTGGGCTCCCGCCCTCCCCGGGGTGCACCTGGGTGGGGACTCACGCGATCAGTGAGTGAGATGTCGCAGCTGGGCACAGCCAGCAGGAGCCCTGTGATCTCCTTGTGGCCGTGCTCACAGGCGCACATGAGGGCCGTGGAGCCATCATCGTCCTGCACGTTGACATCTGCTTCACAGGCCAGCAGAGCTTTGACGACATCCACCCGTCCGTGGCTGACCGCCAGCATCAGGGCTGTCTGTCCCGCCTGGGCAAGGCAAGGAAAAGGTTTATGGACCATGCAGGCCCCAAGGCATGACACCCTTGCTCTGGAACCTTCCATGGTTCCCAAGTACTGTGATATTAACAGTATCCCCACTTGCTGGCCTTCTAGATCTCAAACAATTCCTCCCACCACTGGGCCTTTGCACCTGGCTGGTTCCTTCTCTTCCTGCTGTCCCCTCATCCCTCACGTTTTGGCTTAAACATTTCCTCTTTGGAGAGGTGTTACTTGCCTACCCACTCCCATCCCCAACTAAAGTTGATTCCTAGCTGCCAGATGTAAATATAGATGTAAAAACTTATTGAGCTAAGATTTGTATACTTTTCTGTATGTCAGTCGAACCTCAAAAAAAATTAAATCAATGTTCATTAGTGGCTGAATGGAAAAGCAAACTGTCATATACTCATACTACAGAGTATCATTCAGCCTTAGAGGTGAATGAAGCACTGATGCACACTGCATCACGGACGGATCTTGAGAATGTTACGCTCAGTGGAAGAAGCCAGACAAAAGAATACGTATTATGTGATCCTAATTATATAAAATATCCAGAATTGGTAAATCGATAGAGATAGAAAACAGATGGGTGTTTGCCAGGAACAGAGGGAGAGGGGATGGGGAGTGACTGCTAATGGCACAGTGCTTCCTTCTGGGGTGATAGGAATGTTCTAGAAGTAGATAGAGGTGATGGTTGTACAACACTGTGAATGTACTAAATGCCACTGAATTGTATACTTTAAAAGCTATAATATTTTTTAAATTATTATTTGTGTGTGTGTGTGTGTGTGTATGAGAGAGAGAGAGAGAGAGAAAGAGAGAGAGAGAGGGAGAGAGAGAGAGAAAATGCTCATGTGCAGGGGGCAGAGCAGAGAATCTTTTTTTTTTTTTCAGAGCAGAGAATCTTAATCAGGCATCATGCCTAGCACAGAGCCGAACACAAGGCTCGATCTCATGACCTGAGATCATGACCTGAGTAGAAATTAGAGTTGGATGGTGAATCAACTGAGCAATCCAGAACCCGTTTTATTATTATTATTATTATTATTTTAAGTAAACTCTACTCCCAGGGTGGCACTCAAACTCAAACAGGACCCAGGATCAAGAATCACATGCTTTACCAACTGAGCCAGCCAGGTGCCCCTCAATGGATACTCTTATGTGAATTTCACCTCAGTTAAAATAAGTAAACCATTGAAATACTGTTTTTACTTAAAAACTAAATCAATAGGGACGCCTGGGTAGCTCAGCAGTTGAGTGTATGCCTTTGGCTCAGGGTGTGATCCCAGTTCAAGGATCGAGTCCCACATCAGGCTCCCTGATGGGGAGGAGTCTTCTTCTCTCTCTGCCTATGTCTCTGCCTCTCTGTGTCTTTCATGAATAAATAAATAAAATCTTAAAAAAAAAAAAAAAACTAAATCAATAGAAGAGCCAGCAGGGTCTGTTCTTGCTCTTTATGCCCTGTGACAGAGCCCTGCTTCTATCCTGTGTTTTTTTGTTTTTTTTTTTTAAGATTTTATTTATTTATTTGAGAGAGGGAGAGGGAGCATGAGCAGGGGAGGGGTAGAGGGAGAAGCAGGCTCCCTGCTGAGCAGGGAGCCTGACTTGACACAGGGCTCAATCCCAGGGCCCTGAGATCATGACCTGACCTGAAGGCAGACACTTATTGGACTAAGGTGCCCAGGCACCCCTCCTTCGCTGTCTTTAAGCTGTTGCAAATCCCCCCCTTTCCTGCTATCCCCATAGAGTCCTGGCTGCCCTTCTGCCCAGATGCCTGTCCACGCCCCAGTCACCTCCATGCTCTCTTGGCTTCTGCTCCCCAACATGCAGCCAAAGGGAGATTTTTCAAATCAGAAAGCAGGCCATTGCCACCGCCCTGGTTAAATGCCGCTGGTGGCTTTCTGCAGCCCCCGACCAAACCTGCTCCAAGCCTCTGTGCTGCCTGGAATGCTCTCAGCTCCCAGAGCTCCAGGCCGCTAGTGAACTTCAGGAGGGCAGAGACGTGCCCGCTCGTCCACCATCTGAATCCCTAGCATCTTCAGCTGCTGCTCAATGAATTACCAAGCACGACGTGGGATGGTGTCAGATTAAGAAAGGTGGAGGATCCCTCCCACACTCCACACCCCATCTCCACCGGAAGGCCCTGTATCAGAGGCAGTCTGGCAGGCAGGTCATTAAGGATGGGGTTCTAGGGGCATCTGGTCTGGGTGGCTTGGTCGGTTGGACATCCGCCTTCAGCTTGTCATGATCCTGGGGTCCTGGGATCAAGCCCCAAGTTGGAAGAGCAGGGAGCCTGCTTCTCCTTCTCTATCTGCCTGTCACTCTGCCTACTGTGCTCTCTCTCACTCTGTCAAATAAATAAATAAAATCTTGAAAAAAAAAAAAAGAAAAAAAAGAATGGGGTTCTAAAGCTAGATCAGCTGGGTTCAAATCCCACCTCCTTTAGTCTGACCTGGAAGACATGAGTGCTTCTCTGAGACTCAGCTTCCTCTTCCGTGCAGCGGGGATTCTCCCCCTGGGCACAGAATGAGATCACACCTGGGCTTGGTGCACAGCCAGGGCTCAGGAAGCAGGAAGTACCACTGGGGTCTGCAGCACCAAGGGCCTGTACCTGGCTGGCTTTGGCATTGACATCTCCGAGCCGGAAGAGCTGCAAGACGGTCTCGATGTCATCCTGGGTCTTCAGGTTGGCCAGGGCAGTGAGCATGATGGGGCTGTAGCCAGCGCGGTTCTGCTTGTCCACCTGGCACACACCTGGGAGGGTCGTAAGGAGGACGTGGGACCCTCAGACCTCAAAACTGGGGGAGGGCCCATGAGAACCAGGCAACGTCTTGACTATCACAGTCTAGCTGTGGCCTGAGTCTTACCTTTCCCCAGGCTGAGCGCCCCATTCTGCCCCAGGGTCTCCACCTCTATTATGCCGCCCCATTAGATGAGGGACTTCTAAGGAGGGGGAGACTGTCTCCTTCATCAGCCTGGAGACTCTGACACGCAGGTTTAGGGCTAAAAGTAGGGGACTGTGTCTCCTCCACTAATCTGGAAGAGCCAGTCCCCCTTCAGACTAGCCTCTACCTTCTCCATCAGATTGTGGGCCCTGCCTCCTTCATCAGTCTGGGAGGCTGTTATCTTCCTTGTTAGACCAGGGAAGAGCAGATTTCTTCCTGCCTATTCAAGGACCACATCTTTGAAGTCCCAGAAGGGAGGCTATGGCCTTCTCTCAGACCACGGCTCCAGAGAGGTCACCTTCATCACATAGGGGTCCTTGGGGGTGGTGGAAAAGTCTACACAAAGACTGTGTCTGCCTTCGCCAGTGTACGGGTCTATGGGTACGGACTGTACCTCCCTGACCAGGCTGGAGGGTGGTGTCTCCTCCACCAGACAGGGAGGACAGCATCCCCCCATCAGACCAGAAGGCTGGCATGCCCCTCAAGAGACTATGAAGGCAGTGTCTCCCCCATCAGACCATAAGCTGGGGGTAGCAGACAGCCCACTTGCCCAGGGCCCCCCTGTCCTGCCCCACCAGCTCACCGCTGTCAAGCAGCTGCCGTACCACAGGGAAGTTGGCATGAGACACGGAGTAGTGCAGAGCGGTGTTGCCATTGCTGTCGGCGATGTTGACCACGTAGTCCAGCAGGCGCGCTGACATGGCCCGGAATGTGACCAGGTGGCGCCGCACGAGCTCAGGGTGGGCGTCGCTGCGGCAGGCCAGGCGCAGCCACTCCTGCAGCACCGTGGTGTAGGCCACTTTCTGGATGCGGAGGGGAGAAGGGTAAGAGGGCAGCAGCAACCTGCTCCCCGCCAATTGGACTGAGCCCCAGGTGTGGACACCCCTGTCCCGAACCAGAGCCTGAAGGAGAAGCATGGACAACCCTCCCTGGGTAAGCCCCTTGCACTAAAGAGTGTGGTCTCCCTGTCCCGGACAAGGGAGGCCCAGGTGTGCCCCCAAGGAAGGTGTGAGCATCTCCATCCTGCGCATGTGCTCTTCAGAGGCAAGGACGGACACCCGTCAAGAGAAATGTGGCACCGCCTCCCTCAAGATCCCAAAACAACAGGAACCAGAGGCCAGGACTGCCAGCAGGTGACCGTCTCCAGCCCCACCCACCACCCTGGCCCCCATCCAAAGCCATGACCCAAGCCCCACCCCCCCCCACCACCCCACCTCCCAAGTTCTCTGTTTGGATCCTGGAGTCCCTTCGAAGCTGGCACAGGGAGACACTGTGGATGAGACGCTGGGGTAGGGGTGGAAGGGAAGAAGGGGACCCCGGACCCAGGGCCCCATCATACCAGCTCCCGCTCAGTGAGGGCATTCGGATTGTCCAGGTACTTTTCCAGGGCCAGGCAGGCTGAGATGAGGTCAGGGCTTAACTCCATCCTGCAAGGGGTGGACAAGAGGGAAGTTTACCTTGGGAGCACTCACCTCGGCCTCCTGGGTGACCACAGACAGGGGGAACACACAGATTCCAAGAGAAAGTGGACACACAGACTCAAGTTTATTCCAAGTGGGCAGTAGTGGATAGAAAATCTTTGCCCAAGGGCAGATTTTTCATCAGGGTGGAAAAAAAAAAAAGATACAAACATGTGTGCAGGTGGAGCATTCATCCCAAAGACAGTGGGTAGCTTAAGGACAAATTCTGCCTGCCCCTTAAATTCTAACCCCAATAACCCAAACTGCCTGCATCAGTTTATCAAAGCCTGTAGACCTTCTGATAGCCAGGAGAAAGCACTTGTTTGCTAATTCAGACTAAGGTGTGTCTGACTGATGGGAGGTTCCTTCAGAGGGCATGAATGGTGAGATCTATTTTTTTTTTAATTTTTATTTATTTATGATAGGCACACAGTGAGAGAGAGAGGCAGAGACACAGGCAGAGGGAGAAGCAGGCTCCATGCACCGGGAGCCCGACGTGGGATCCGATCCCGGGTCTCCAGGATTGTGCCCTGGGCCAAAGGCAGGCGCCAAACCACTGCGCCACCCAGGGATCCCTGAATGGTGAGATCTGAGGCAGAAGTCACCCACCTCACTCTGTCTGAGTCCCTCCTAACAGAGAAAACTGACCGGATCTCCTCCTCTGCATTCGCTCCTGATGCTGCCTCCGCCACAGGCACGTGCTGAGACTCCCGAGGCAGCTGGCACTCCTCCTGGCTGGTCTTGGCTGCTGCTGTCTCCGAGGGCCTGAGCTGGGGGGCTTCGACCACACTTGCAACCCTCTCCTCTGGCTCTGGGGCCTCATTCTCTGTGCTCTCGTTGTCCGAGAAGTTCTCTGCTGTGCTAGAGTCCTCAGATGAGGACTCGTATCTGGGCAGGAAGGACGGGTGGAGTGAGGAGATGCTGCAGATGGGACAGGACATGGCAGGGGAGGGCACAGTGTTCTGACAACTTGACTGCTCTGCGCCTTGGCTTCCCCATCTGTTAGGTGGGAGTAATGGCAGTATCTACGTCACAGGGCTGCAGGGATGTGCCTTCCAGCACCTGGCACCCAGTAGGTGCTCAATAAACACTAGCTCAGCCTGTGATAATGCTCAGGGTGGCTCAGGGAGAAATACTGCTCTCACCTTCCACCTCTTTCCCCTTTGCCTCTTAACGCAGGTCCCTCACCCCACTGCAAACAGGTCCCTCTTGTGCTTCTTGCTGCCTCTGGACAAAGTATAAGCTTTTGGGCCTAGCAGTCAAGCCCCCAAATGGTCCCTGACTCCGACCTCCTGTGCCTCTTGCTTCTCAAGGGTATCACTGCTTCCTCTCACCAGAGCCTTTATCAGGCTGTGCCCTCTACCAGGAGTGCCCTCCCAACCCCCACTCTTCACTTGGTAGCTCCTGCTTATCCTTTTTTTTTTTTTTTTAAGATTTTATTTCTTTATTTGAGAGAGCAAGCGAGCACAAGAACGGGGAGGGTCAGAGGGAGAAGTAGGCTCCCTGCCGAGCAAGGAGCCTGATGTACGTCTCGATCCTGGGACTCTGTGATCATGACCTGAGTTGAAGGCAGATGTTTAAACTGACCGAGCCCCTCCAGGCGCTCCCTGCTTATCCTGCAGCACACTCGTCCCCTCCTTCAGTGTCCTCTCTGGGGACACCAATGCCTCCCCCGACACAGTCTGAGGAGGGGTGTGGGGCAGAGGCTGCGGCCCAGGCTCGGGAGTCTGACTCCCGGTGGCCGTGTGAGCTCCAGCAAGTCACCTGGCCCCGATGTGCCTCGGTGTCCCCAACTGGCTACTGTGCTTTGGTTCCAGTAATGAATCAAAACAAGGGGCCCAGACCAGGGGGCATTCTCGGACATGAAGGAGCCAAGGAACAAGGAGGAAGGTAAAAGCTGAGGAAAGGGTGGTAGCGTGGGCTGGGGGAAGAGGGGACTCCCCCTCTCACCCGCCGTTGACGCCCACAAACTGCAGGCTCCTCCGCCGGGCTGCAGGGTCTGCGGGCTCCTCTTTGCGCTTCATGATGGACCGCACACCGACCTGGGGCTCACCTGTGGGGATGGGTGGCATCATAAGAACCTCCCCAAGCTGGACCCTAAGCCCAGGCCTCCAGCGCCCCATCCCCCTGGGAGGCCACCCGCACTTACCTACGCCCCCCACCTCCTGTGACTGGCATGAGGCTGCTTGCCTGGTGGGCTCCCCGTCAGCAGCATCCCGGGCAGCCGACCCACCTGCACTCTTCTCAGGCTGTGCCCGGGAGGTGGCCTCCATCCCTGGGGGTGACGACGGTGACTCTGCAGGAGCCGGTGGGAGCCCTGCAGGGGAGGAAGAGAGGTGCTTACCATGGGTGGATAAGAGCTGCGTCCTTGGGGTCACATGCTCCGGGGCCAGGTGCTCTGGGGGCTGATGCTCATGTCACTTGGTCAAATCTTCCCACCCCATGAGATCCGGATTGTTAGAGATGAGAAAACTGAGGCACAGAGGGTTGCCTGGAGTCACCCAGTGAATGAGCAGGAGAATCTGATTCCACCAGCGGTCTCTTGCCTGCAACAGCAGCGGGTCAGGGACAGGGAAGACGCTGCAACCTTACAATCCTGGCTTGTGACCCCCACCTCTCCAATATCACTCTGAAGGTTGTCTGGAAACGAGGTGTGATCACAGCCAAGAGTCGTGGTCATGGGAGGGTCTCAACTCTCCCATGAACAAGCTGTGTGACCTCAGGTAAGTCACTTAACCTCTCTGTGCGTCAGGAGAATGGCATTTCTGTGCAGACTGAGGACCACAGTGTGGGGGGAAGGGCTTAGAACAAGGTCTGGACATCAACAGTGCTCGAGGATCATGAATTGCAGACGCTACTTTGATAAGACTTATTAGTATTTTAACAAGAGCAAGGCTGTGTTATGATATCACAGCTCCCTTCTTCTGAACTTTAAGCAGGTTAACACTTTAACAATCAGGAAAAGAAACAATAAGGGCTATTACAAAATAAATTTTTAAAAAGATTTTATTTGAGAGAGAGAGAGAGAGAGAGAGAGAGAGAGCAAGCGCGAGCAGGGGGAGAGGGAGAAGCAGGCTCCTCGCTGAGCATGGAGCCGGATGTGGGGCTTAATACCAGGACCCTGGGATCATGACCTGAGCCAAAGACACTTAATCCACTGAGCCTCCCAGGTGTCCCCAGAAAATAAAAATTAAAACCCCACCCAGGTAGGGGTGCCTGAGTGGCTCAGTCCGTTAAGCACCTGACTCTTGGTTTCAGCTCAGGTCATGATCTTGAGACATGGGTTGGGATCCACGCTCAGTGCAGAATCTGCTTGAGATTTTCTCTCCCCTTCTGCCTCCGCTCCTCCCACCCCACTCACAGGGGGACGCATGCTCTCTCTCTCTAACAAATAAACAAAATCTTAAAAACAAAAAACAAAAACAACCCAAGCCCACCCTGGTAGATTTTCAGTGTGAGAAGATGAAAATGTTCTGGAAATGGATGGTGGGGGTGGTTATACAACAATGTGAATGTGCTTAGTGCCGCTGAACTGGACACTTTAAAATGGTTAAGATTGGGGGGTGTGGGGTGGGGGGACACCTGGGTGGCTCAGTGGTTGAGCTTCTGCCTTCAGCCCAGGCTGTGATCCTGGAGTCCCGGGATCGAGTCCCACATCGGGCTCCCTGCATGGAGCCTGCTTCTCCCTCTGCCTGTGTCTCTGCCTCTCTCTCTCTCTGTGTCTCTCATGAATTAAAAAAAAAAAAAGACGGGGGGCGGGGTGGGGTGGCAAATGGCTGGCTCAGTCAGTGGAGCATGTGACTCTTGGTCTCAGGGTCATGAGTTCAAGCCCCACATTGGGCACGGAGCCACTTTAAAAAATAAAGTGGCTAAGATGGTAAGTTTTATATCATGCATATGTATATGTTATCACATTTAAGAAACCCTACCCAGGTTTGGTAGAGGACAAAGGTGACTCTGATGGTGGCTGTCCCCATCTCAGAACCTGCTCAGGGCCCCCCACAGGCCAAGTGTGGCTTCTATGTACCGCTTCCCCAGGGCATCTCATTTCGACCGTTGGCCTTGGGGTCTGCCGGACAATTCCTTTCAATTCCCTTGAATGGTTACAACCTTTTCTGACATACACAGTAACTACTTCAAGTCCATGATACTCAAATGGAGTTAAGAACAGAGAAGGGACACCTGGGTGGCTCAGTGGTTGAGCGTTTGCCTTTGACTCAGGGCATGATTCTGGGGTCTGGGATCGAGTCCCACATTAGGCTCCTTGCAGGGAGCCTGCTTCTCCCCCTTCCTGTGTCTCTGCCTCTCTCTCTCTGTCTCTCATGAATAAATAAATAAAATTTAAAAAAAAAAACAGAGAGGAAATAGAACAAGCACAGAGCGAAGGACAGATGAGACCCAGCCACAGAATGTGTCTCTGACAGCACCCAGCTCAGGGTGTGGCTGGGCCAGGCTGATTCCAGAGCCGCAGCCCGAGCCCTGTGGGGAACCAAAGCACAGGCTGGGTGTCTATGTGGCTCTCTCGGTTTCTTTTTTAAACTCTGTCAATAAAGTCAATCAAACAAACAAACAAAATCACTATATGGCCAAGTGGAAGGTGTCAGAAGGCAGACGGGCCAGTTCAGAGCCTTGGTTATTTGCCCCAAGCTCAAGACTCTTAATTTAAAGACCTGGCAGGGTAAAAAATAAAAATAAAAATAAAAATAAAAAATAAATCAGGTGAAACAACACTCAGCTTGGTGAAAGAAACCAGTCACAAAAGGACAAATCCTGTCTGATTCCACTTATGTGAGGTCCTCAGGGGAGTTACATTCACAGACAGGAAGTCGATGGTGGGCGCCAGGAGCTGGGGGAGGGAATGGGGAGTCTGTGTTTAAGAGTTTCAGTTTGGAAAGATGGGAAAGTTCTAGGGAGGGATGCTGGTGCCATGTGAATGTACTTCATGCCACTCAATTGGCCAGTCAGACATGCTAAGTTTCATGTTCTATGTTCTTTACCACAATATTTTAAGACGTAGAAAAAGGAAACAAACAAAAAAAGAAACAGAGCAGCCCTATAGCCCATTCTGCCCCAAAGGTAAAGCAGGCCCTGTCTCCAAAAGCTTGGATGGCTCCTTCTGGAGTGAGGAGTTCAAAGTCAGGCACTACAACTGTTGAAACAGCAATGACAATAATAGAACTGATCGTAATTGTTATTGTCATTCCACTAAGGAACAGGACAAAACGACACCACAATTTATATGGAAGAACCGAAGTCTATGACCAGCCAAAACAACCTTATAGTAAGAGGGTAGAGATGGCGAATCTGACTGAGGAGGGCGTAGTAAAACATGCCAAACAGCCAAACAGCCACAGTGGCCAAAAGAGCAAATGTTGCTGAGGGAAGAAATGGGCCAAAGGAACAAAAAAGAAGAGAAGACCCAGCAAAGGCCCCAGCTGAGGGAGCTTGGGTTAAGACAAAGGGGTTTCCACAAATCAGTGGGAAAGATGGTCTTGTGGTGTGGTGCTGGGAAAAGCAGCTCACTCAACCCAAGAAAAATCAAGCTGCATCCCTACCTCACACCTTAACATGAAAACTCAGAAGGATGGATGTAGCTACAGGAAGGTACAAAGCTACAGGAAGAAAATGTAACAGAATATCGGGGGCCTCAGGAAGAGGAAAGATTCCTTTAAAAATTCGTCAAAGATAGGGCACCTGCATGGCTCAGTGGTTGGGCGTCTGCCTTGGCTCAGAGTGTGATCCCAGGGTCCTGGAATCAAGTCCCACATCAGGCTCCCCACAGGGAGCCTGCTTCTCCCTCTGCCTAGGTCTATGCCTCCCTGTGTCTCTCGTGAATAAATAAATAAAATCTTAAAAAAAAAATTCCTCAAAGATGAGGCGCCTGGGTGCCTTAGTTGGTTAAATGTCTGACTCTTGATTTTGGCTCAGGTCATGATCTCAAGATTGTGAGATCAAGCCTGGCATCAGGATCTGTGCTAAGTGCGCAGCCTGCTTAAAATTCTCTCTATCCCTCTCCCTACTCCTCGTTCTCTGTCTCTAAAAACAAATAAACAAACCTCAAACTACATATGAAGATGATCTCACATGTAGAAGTAAAAACAAAACAAAACAAAACAACAACAACAACAAAAAAACCCAGGGGATTCCTGGGTGGCTCAGCGGTTTAGCACTGCCTTCAGCCCAGAGCATGAGTGATCCTGGAGACCCAGGATCGAGTCCCACATTGGGCTCCCTGCATGGAGCCTGCTTCTCCCTCTGCCTGTGTCTCTGCCTCTCTCCCTCTCTGTGTCTATCATGAATAAATAAAATCTTAAAAAAACAAAAACCAAGAAACAACCCAAACTCCTAGATGCAGAGAACAGACTGGTAGTTTCCTGAATAAGGAGGTGAGAAAATGGGAGAAAGGGGTCAAAATGTATAAATTTCCAGTTATGAAATACATAAATCCTGGATCTGTCCTGTGCAGCATGGTGACTATAGCTAATAATGCTGTATTGATTGAACATCTGAAAGTTGCTAAGAGAGGAGATCTTAAATGTTCTTGTCACAAGAAAAAGTCTGGAACTCTGTGAGCTGCCAGATATTAACTAAACTTACTATAATAATTATTTTGCAATATATACAAATATCACAATCATTATTTGATTACCCTGAATGGGTACAGTGCTACATGCCAATTACAGGTCAATAAAATCTGAAAAAAAATTTAAAAATTAACAAAAGAAAAAAAATAGGATGGGTTTAACTGTATTTGACATGAACATTTCTACTTCATTATAAAACAACAACCTTCATAGACAAAGTTAAACGACAGGGTATACACTATGGGAAAATATTCACAATGCCAGAAGTGACCAAGGATTTTCTTCCAGAACAAGACTCAATAAACTTTTTCTGTAAGGGGCCAGACAATAAATATTCTGTTATGTGGGCTGGAAGGTCTCATTTGCAAAAGCAGCCCTGGACAGTATGTAAATTAATGGGCATGGCTGTGTCACAACACGAATTTCATATTAATTTTGTTCATGTCACAAAATGTTGTTCTTCTTTTCACATTGTTCAACCATTTAAAAATATGAAAAACCATGCTTAGCTTGTGAGCCTATAAAAACAGGCAGTGGGCTGGACTTGGCCCAAAGGCTGTAGTTTGCCAACCTCGATCCTGGAATATGTCAGAACTTCTCAAAATTGCCCAAGGAAAAACGGACAAAGGCTACAAATAAGTGATTCACAGAGCAATCTTATGAAACATGTATGGTGATGCCCTATCTCACCAAAAGATCAAAGAAATGCACATTAAAACAAGGAGATACCACCCTGCACCAGAGTCGATGGGCAAACCATGAGAAAAAACGTGTTGGTGGGTATGTGGGGCAATGGGCACCTCAGATCCAAGCGTGGCTGGTGGGAGCATGGACAGGGAGAGCTTGCCCAGAGAGGACTGGACAAAACTTGGAGTGAAATGGTGAATTCCCTGTGAATCAGCAACCCCAGGGGAAGCGACATGTGAAGACAGCACCAGCACTGCTCATGGCAGCCAGAAGCTGGACATAACTGGGTGCCCCCAAGGGGGTATGGATGAGAAAAGTGTAGCACACACTAGGGCAGAAGGCGACGTGGTCCTTCTGACTGACAAACACAATGTATAAGCATCAGGGTGGAGAGTTCAAAAAGAGTGTACAGAGAGATAAAAAAAAAAAGAGAGAGAGAGAAACAGCAAGATTTTTTTCTTCGGAAATCACAATACCATTTTAGGAAATCAAGCATGCACAGAGCATATTTTTCAAGGACACTGAAATGTCTAAATAAGCTTCTGGAAGGTGGATTGCGAGGAATGATATTACATGGGCTGGGGGGGGAGTGTGAGCGGCATAGAGCAGGGGTTGGCGAATTATGAACTATGGGCACGATTTTTGCATTCTTGATGGTCGGAAAAACAAAAAAGAATGCTATCTGGGACATGTGAAAATTACATGAAATTGCATTTCATATAGCCACGCTTGTTCCGTTCTATACTGTCCACACTTACGTGCTACAGAAGGAGAACCGAGACGCTAAACTCATCAAAATTCGTGCACAAAATATGCTATTTTTTTTTGCATATTAAGCTCACTGCAATCAAGCTTAAAAGAGAGAAAGAGAGAGAGGGAGAGAGAGAGAGAATGAACCAAGCAGAATTGAGCCATTGCCACTAAGATCATACGGCCCACGGAGCTGAAAATATTTACCGACCCTCAGCACTGGGGGTGGAAGGTGGAGGTGGAAAAAGAATCAAGTAAAATGAGGGAGCTGGCAGGCGCAGATGGAGATGGTCACTGTGAGCAGAAGAATTTAGATGAACTCAGTTTGGGCCTTTGGGCCAAAAGAAATTTTTAAAAATTTAAATCACTCAGCCACCCAGTGTGGGAAGGGAGTGGGGCCACAGGGGAATAAAGCAAGTTGGCAAGAGACATCATGGTCCTCAAAAATGGTCTTCCAGAAACCTGTCCTGAGAAAACAGAAGACGTGAGGGGTTTCTGCAGAGGGACGTCTGTGTGGCGCCCGATGACAGCAGACATCGACGTGGCTCACCAGTAAATACTACGTCCCGGGAATTTTTAATCACGGGAAGAAATGCCCCTGGGATCAGGTTCCATCAAAGAAAACCAAAGGCGGAGTTTGAATCCTGGCTCCATGAACAGTGGGCAACCACTGGGGCCCTCTGTTTCCTCTTCTGTCAAATGGGGAATGATAACGCCACCCACCTCACAGGGGTGCTGGGGATGTAAATGAATTAAAATGGGAAAAGAGCGTCTAGAAACGCCCTGGCCCCAAGTAAAGCTACCTAAATGCTTTTAAAAGTGAAATAATGCAAGACAACACATTCCATCGGTTCCCTGTTGCTGGACTTGAAACCTACATATTATTTTCTGCATTAAAAATTTCGGAAGGAAAGAAGCAGAAGTGCTGACAACAGCTGTGTCTGGGCGGTGGTGGGTTTATGGGGGTTTTGTTTTGTGTTCCAGATTTTTCTGTACTTTCCAAACTTTCCACAGAGCATATGAATTGCTGTCATAGGAATATGTTTTGAACAGGAGCAAAGGAAATTTCAAAGCTTTGGAGCCCCCACGGATGCACACGCCCAGCTGCCCCGTCTCCCACTCATCTCCCTGCCTTGCTTTTGGGTGGTGGGGGGATGGGACTTCATGAGGTCTCCCAGCCTCTGCCTGCCCCACCCACCCTTTCCAGCCTGAGGGGAAGGCTGCTTCGCCCTTTGGCTGCAGTGAGGGAATTCTAGATGGCAGAGAAGTCCTCCTTGCCTCCTCCCCCAGGGAGTACTCCAGGACCTACCCATCAAGCTGGGTGACCTAAAGACATGGTCCGAACGCTTGTCAAGTCCTGTACATCTAATTTCATTTTTCATATTGCTCCTCCTCCCCAGTCTGCAAGCCCTACAGGGCCCGCCGCTGATGCTCAGGCACCTCTGGACCTTGCTTGTCTGGCCTCATTACTCTAGCTGGTTCAACAGTTTATGTGCTCGAGCCCCTCCTTGCTTCAGGACCTTTGCCCCCACTGTGAACACTCTTCTTCCCACCTTGGTGCCACGTGGCTGCTGCCTCTCTTTCACATCTTGGTTTATTTTTTATTTTTTTTAAGATTTTATTTATTTATTCATGAAAGAGAGAGAGAGAGAGAGGCAGAGACACAGGCAGAGGGAGAAGCAGGCTTCACGCCAGGAGCCTGATGTGGGACTCGATCCTGGGACTCCAGGATCACGCCCTGAGCCAAAGGCAGGCGGTAAACCGCTGAGCCACCAGGGATCCCCCACATCTTGGTTTAAAGAGCCAACCGCTAACCCTCAAGCACCTACCATGTGCCTGATGCCACATGGAACACCCAATGGGAACTGATGCATTGAAGCCTCACACTGATCTGGTGATACCAGGCTGTCAGGACACCCTTACCCCCAGCCATTTGCAAACGAGACACACAGAGGTCAAATAACTAGCTCAAGGGCACAGAACTAGGCGGCAGGGTAATCAGGGTTGGAACCCAGACCATCACCCCACCTGATGGCTGCCTACCCCACGCCCCTGTTTTATTTGCTTCAAACACCTCTCCTCTGAAATGATACTTCTTCACTTATTTACTATGGGGCTTCACTTGTTTGTCGCACTTGTTTGTCTATCTTGTTCACTGCTGTACCCCCAAAGCCCAAAAGAGTCCCGCACATAGCAAATGTTCAATAAAAGTTTGCAGACTGAGAAGACACTGAAATGAACGGGCAAGCTCCAGCTCCGCCCAAGCAAAGCAGAGGCTGGGGCTGGCTGCAGCAAGGAGGAGTTAAGTGAGACACAAGGAAGAGCTTTTGGGGGCAGCAGCCCACACACAGTGGGAACATCACTAGGTCTGTGTGTCCTGCAGGCAGGCAGCCCCATGGCTGCCCTAGGTGGCATGTCTGGAATGAAGGCTGCCTCTCAGAAATCCCAAGGCGGAGCTGGGCAGAGCCCTTGGCTGGGGGCCAGAGTCAAAGGGCCGGGTGTTTGCGATGGACACAGAAAAGAGGAGTGGTGCCTGGAGCTGGCCAGGAACAACATGGAAAGGCAAAAAAACACAGCTGGGTCCCCTCCCTCCAGCATGTGCCCTCTGGTCCCTCCATGGGGCTCTGACATTCAAGACTGGGACAGGGACCTAGGCTGTACCTTAGAGCCCCCTGCAGGTTCAGGCTGACCTCGGTTTAGATCCTGGCTCAGCCACTTCGTGGCTGTGTGACACAGGGCAAGTACAGCTCTTCCCTGAGCCTCAGTCTCCCCAGCTGTGAGCAGAATGGGCCTGAAAGTTATCAACAGAAGCAGCAACAAGCAACGCTGGAGGGTTCACTGTGTACATCAAGTCACTAGTCCTAGGGGCTGGGACTATCGTTATGCCACTTTACAGATTGGGAAGCTGAGGCCCGGAGGGGTGAAGTCCCTCACCTAGGGCTACATCATGAAGTAGAATTTGAACCCAGGTTGCTTAACTGTAAAGCCCATACTCTTCAGCCTTCCATGATTGAAAGCCTCAGCACAGCACCTGGCACCAGGCTAGCCTCTGATAAAGAACAGCTGTCATTATTATGACTCATTCTGACAGCTTCTCCCAGGAGCCTAAGGGTGGCAGTGGTGGGGCAGCTGTCTTTTGTAGATCCCACATCCCCTTTCCTGGCATGAGGACTCAGCACTTCCTCTGGGGGACACCCCTTTGTTCCCTCAAAGGCCACAGGGCTTGGGTGGGGCTCCTCTACCCCCAGGATCTGGGGGTTAGAGGATCTGCACTGGGGGGCAGCGAGAGACACTGTGATCTGGCTCAGTGATGGGCACATGATGGCCACTGGCCAACGAGGGGCGCTCCTGGAATCGTTATGGGCACCATTTCCACCAAGATGGAAAGACAGATCCCTGGAGTGGTGGGGCCACTTTCACTCACCTGAGAAAGACGTCAAGGTGCACAAAAGATATTTGAGCACCTAGATCCAGCTATGACTGAACCCGTCACCAGGTTACATGAATAATACATTGCCTAAACCGGACTGAAATTGGTTTCTACCATTTACTGAATAAAATAGATGGGTTTTTTGGCTCAACAAGCCAACAGTCCTGGGGACCCTTCTTCAAATACCTCCTGTTTTCTGGATACTTACAATGCACTAGACATGAGGACATACACTCAATCAGATACCTGATTTTTCTGCATGGTCCCTACAGCACAGAATCAACGGCATAACTGTCCCCTTTTTGCAGGTGAAGAGACCGGGGCTCTGAGAACCAGCGTGGTTGGTCTGACGGAAGGCCAGGGCTAAGGCTAGACCTTGGCCTTCACAGGAACAAAGGGCACCTCTCCCCCAGCCTCCCCCGTGCACTATGGCTCACCTGCTGTCCCGTCGCAGCTTCGTTCCGTGATGCTAATTTTCTTCACCAGGTGGATGTTGCCAGTGGATGCAGTGGCTGTGGGGAACGCTGTCTCTACCACCTCATGGGTACGGAACACTGCAGGGCTCTCAACCCCTCCAGACGTTGCCAGGGACCGCAGCCCTGTCCCATAGGGCTCCAGACTCTGGGCCCGCTGTGCAGGGGCCCCAGCGGCTGTACTGGCAACCACCTCCACCTCCCGAGGGCCCTCTACCACCCGGACAGTGTCCACGCGGATGGGGCTGTCTGGTGGAGCCGAGGCTGGGGCTGGGCTGGGGGTCAGCCTGCCGGGCCTGAGCTGCCTGCAGCTCCTGGAGTGCTTTCTTGAGCTGGGTCTCCAGCACGGCGACCTTAGCGGCAAGGGCCGCCTCCCCGTCAGACACACCCAAGTCCCGCTCTCGGACCCAGGTGCCCACGCTCCGGGTCTCGAGGGTCACCGGGTCCTCGGGGGGCTCTGGGAGGTCCAGGCAGAGCTCACTGCGGCTCCGGGCCCCTGTGGGGTGGCCCAGGAATTTCTGGCTCTTGAGCTGTACTGTGAGCTGCCGTTTCTCCTCCTGCAGCACAGAGAGCTTCACCTGGAGCACGGGGATCAGCTTCACCTGCTCCTCCAGCTGCCGCAGCTTCCGTAGCGCACCCGCCATCTGTTCCCGCACGTGGGCCAGGTGCCCAGCGCTGGGAGGCACGGGTGTGGACAGTCCCGAGCCCCGTGGCGTTGGGGGTGGCAGCCCCACGCCCACCAACGAGCTTGTGGAGCCTGCTGCGCTGGGGGTCAGGGAGCCCAAGCCAGTGGGTGCAGCCGCCTGGTCCTCCAGGCGGCGACGGGCGTCCAGCAGCGTGCGCTCCACGCGCGGGTTGAAGCCAGCGCGCGTCTCTAGGGCACCATACTGCGGGTAGAAGCCACGGCCACAGTAGGAGTAGGCCGAGTGGCGGCTGTCCCCACTGGCATTAGAGCACAGAGACTCAGTGGATGTCCACCAGGAGCCGGGACCCCGTGGCAGTGAGCCGAGGCGGGGCCGGCGCTGCACGGCCACGCGCCGGAGCGTGTGGCCTTTCTCAATGTCATCCACGTACTTGAGAAAGTCCAGGTCGAGGCGGTAGCCGTAGGGCGTCTCCACGGAGTATGGTGGGTCAGGCTCCCTGGCAGGGAAGGCGGGTGGGGAGGCTGGACCGGGGGCCCCTGGGGCGTGAAGAAAGACCAGGGCCTCTGAACACTGCTGTCCCCTCCTCAGGGGGAAGACTCATGTTCACATCCCAGGGAGAGTCGAGGTTTATTCACCCACAGGAGGGGAGGCCACTGGGTGCTCAACTGAGGCTCCAGTCTTAGGGCAAGGCCCTGCCTCCTCAGAAACCCCCAGGGCAGGGACCAGGGACTGTCTCTGGACTCAGACCAGCCCCTTTCCCTAAAAGACTATCTCCCCCATCAGACCCTCTAGGGCAGAGCCAAAGGCCCTCATTCAGGCCTGCAGGGCAGGGCTGTATCCTACCCCCAGTGACCATGCCCCCCTCCCACTGCCCTCGAGGCAAGGCCTTATCTTTTCCCCCAGACCCTGGGGCAGGGCCCTTTCTTCCCGAGCCCTCTGACCTGGGAAGGGGGCTGGCACGTGCAGGACTTGGGCCATCCTCTGGTCTGCAGACACTCCTCAAGAGTCACCTGGGGTTTATCTCAGATCACCTGCAGCACTGGCTGAGGCTTACCTGGGGAAAGGGGGATGTTGGAGCCTGGAGTCAGGAAGAGTCTGCAGTGGGGAAGAAGGGGATGTGGCCACCCTTCCCCCACGATTGTCCCCCTCCCAATCCCTCCTCTTCCCCGAGTCTGGGACCCTCTCACAGGAACACACCCGGCCTGGCTGTGGAAAGGGGTGGGGGTGGGGGGGCCCGCGGCCTGGAACAAAGAAACCAAACCTCACGGCCCGCCTGCACATCTGTCCAGCGGCTGGACAGGCTCCAGCTGTTCCCACAGCCCCGCCTCCACAAGGCCCTGGGCTGGGGGCCCCCGGAGCCTAACAGGCCCCACCCTTCCTGCACCCCTCCTCTCAGCCCAGGCCAGAAGCTGGCTACAGGGATGCATGGGGGCTGAGGTGGGCAGGGGGCTGAGGCCCTGAGTAAGGGACTGTCTTCCTGAAAGGATCCGAGGACACAGAGACACGGGGACACCAGGAGAGATGGAGCTCAGGGTAGGGGACCCCAAAGCAGAGCTGGGGCAGGCCAACCAGAGTGGGGCGGGGGGGAAAGTCGGTGAGGTGGGGGAGGCAGTGAGGAGCAAAGCCTTTCCTCTTTATGGAAACAATTTTCTCTAAAAATAAACAGTTTCGCTGCCGGGCTACACGAGAACTTCCTGCCCCCCCAGGATGCGTCCGGCTCAGGGGCACAGCAGGGATAGAAGGCCGAGTGGTGGCCAGGGAAGTCATGGGGGTGGGAGGGTGGGGAGGAAGTAAGAGAGGGTGCCTGGAGGCTGCAAAAGGGAGGGACAATCAGAGCCTCTCACTAACCCTTCCTCAGCCCTGGAGACCAGCCAGCACCCTTTTGTCCCCAACACTCAGCCTGAGCTTGGCCAGTTCTTTCTGCTGTCTGACCTCTAGCCACCTTGCTCCAGAGTGCTCCAGATAGCCCCATCCCATCCCATCCCACCAAGGAGGACCCTTTCTGGCCGAGGGGGGCGAGGGCAGTGGGTACCTGGGAGGATGGACCAGGCCGGGCACCTGCCGGGCATGAAGGCGGGGCTGGGGCTCCAGGGGCGGCCAAGCTCCTCCTCGTCTTACACCCTGCTCGCCTCCTGCTTAGTGCCTTTGCTTAGTCTCTTCACGTCCCTCTGCGTCTCTCCACGCTCTCCACGCCTGTGTATCTCGCTCCACTTCTCTTACCCTCTGTTTCCACGTCTCTGGCTTCCAATGCCGCCTGCAGCACAGTAACCAATTGTATGAAACTTGGTTTTCCACCTGCTTGGAGGTTCACCCCTACACACCAAGGAGGTGATCAAAAGCATTTTCTGGGGACCTGCGAGAGATGGGCGGGCAGGAAACAGAATCGGAATATCCCGTGGGGGCCCCTGGAGGTGAAAAGGGGTGGGGCGAGTAATAATCGTAATAGTAATAATCACCCCAGCTGCTCATCTGATCACAACATTCCCATCAGGCACAGGTTATTGCCCTGTTTTGGAAACAGGGCATCTGGGGTCACAGAAATGTACAGTGAGTTTGTCCAGGGTCACTAGAAGGGGAAGGGGCTGGGTCTGCACTTGAACCTAGGCCCGGAAGATTCCCCACTGCCAGGGTCACCTCACACCTAGCTCCCCATCCCTCTGCCCATTTCCCAGAGACTGAAGTCAGAGGGTCTCTAGTCATCTGATCGCCCTCTAGGTGCGAGGACGACTCCAGGTCTAGAACGCAGATGGAGGTGGGGAGCGTGACGGGGGAGGTGTCTGTGGCTGAAGCCCCCCTCCCTGAGTGGGACCCTGCCTGGGGTATAAAAAAGGAAACACCGGGTCGGAGAGAGATGGAGAAAAAGAGGCGGACACTCCAAGAGGGAACAGGTAACGGGGCGCGGGGCCGCGGGACCGGGGCCGAATGGCCCGCGGGGTCTCCCTGCAGCGCCCCCTCCCAGCCAAGCCGGACGTCTCTGGGGTCTCCCCGCCCCAAAGATGGGGCAAGGGTGACCCCGCCCCGTGGAGGGAGGGGGCGGGGCCTGCGGGGTCCCCGGCTAATGGCAAACAGCTGCCGCTCCCCACGCCGGCCCAGCCGCCAGGCCGAGGCCCAGCGCGGCGTCCCGCCGGGCCGCCTTCCCGCCGTCTGGGGCCCGGCCCGGCTCGGCCGCGGAGGAGGCGAGGGGGGCCAGAGCGGGGGGAAGGCGGTACAGAGGACCGAGGTGGCGGAGAGGGGCAGAGCGACGGCAGGGATGGGGCGGAGGCAGGGCGAGAGGTGCAGGCGGAGGACGGGGCCGGGGGCGAGAGGCAGGGACGGGGCCAAAGGCGGGGAGGGGACAGAGAGGCGGGGAACGAGGCTCTGAGTCCGGAAAGTTTGGACCGAGACGTGAGTTGGAGGCAGAGGCTCGTAGAGAACGGCGAGGTCGCGCCCCGGGATTGGGGGTGGCTGGGGCGGGGACCACGCTCCAACCCCGAACCGGACTCGAACCCCGACCCAGCCTCGGGTCCTACTCGCCTCGCGCGCTCCGGCCGCCGCCGTCCCTGCGTCCCGCCGCCCGTGCGTCCTCCGCGCGCCACCGCCCGGCCGCCCGGCCCTCGGCGGTGGCCCCGCCCCCGCCCCGCCCTCCCCGGGCCGGCCCCGCCCCCGCCCCGCCCCGCCCCGCCGCCCGGGCCGCCGCGGAGGGGGACGCCGCGAGGGCGCGACCGCACCTGGCCCGCAGGTGTGTGTGCGCGCGCGGGGGGTCCCGTGGCGCCCTCCCGCCCCTGCTCCGGAGTCCCCGGGGCACGGGCCACCCCCACCGCTGCAGCTGGGCGCAGTGGGGGGCAGGAGGGGGCGGGGCTGGCCGAGGCCCAGCTCCGGGAGGGCGCTGGCGGGGGCGGCGGCGGCGGCGGCGGCGGCGGCGGTCACCCGTCCTGTCCTCCCCACCCCCCGCCGGCCAGGCTGGAAGCGGCCCAGCACAGGCCTGGTACAGGGTGGCGTGACCGCCGCGGGGTGGGGAGTGGGGCTGGGTCAGTGCGAGGCTGCGCAGGCAACAGCCAAACCGGACCTGGGCTCCAATCTCAGACCCACCAAACCTTTAACTGCTTGGTGCCTCAGTTTCCCCACCTGCAAAACATTAAGAATGCTTCCTACCTGATAATGCCATTGAGAAAATTCACTAACTAGGAGGTAGGGGCCTGAGAGAGGTCCCTCGGGCAAAAAGACCCCATAAACAGGGCAGTGACTTTTTATGAGCCCTTCATCCCTGGGCTGAGTACTCTGCAAGGGTTTCATTAACGTTATTATTCCCCATGGGCAGGTGACATTGTTAGTTGTGTGTCGCTTCTACTAGAATATCAGCCCCACCAGGGCAGGAATTTGCAAATGTCACTACAGTGTTCCTGGCACTCAGTGAGCTCTCACAGAGTCTGTCAAAGATCAGGGTGTGTGGGTAGACGGTGCACACATGACCCAGCTCCCAGGATCCACATCAAACAGGCTGCTTATGAAAAACACTTTAAATTAGAAAAGATAAGAAGCATCAGTGCACACAGATGGGAACAGAGGAATAGAGGGCCCAGCCCGGTGTGCAATATGATCACCCCACAGCCCAGGGCTCAGTGGGGGAAAGTCCCAGGAAGGCATAGACAGGTGAAGCCAGGGTGATGGTTCTTCTGGGTGTGGCTTCAGGTCACGCAGGTTCAGAGGTCGGCCTTGCGGAAACTTGCTCTGTTTAAGGAGTTCCTGGGGGGAAGGATGAGGGGGGTCAGCATGACCATGGGGCTGCCAACTCCATAGTGCTCATCAGCCGCCTCCTCCTCCTCTAAAGATCCCTTTAGGGATTCTGTTTCTTTCACATCCTTTCTGATCTGGCCATGGGTTCCCAGAATCTCTCTTGGAATCTACCACCAAAGATAAGAACTGTGCCCATTTTACAGATGTGGAAATCGAGGCTCAGAGAGGTGAAGACACATGTCTGAGAAGGGACGTAGCCAGGCTCTGAAGTGGCTGCCTAGAGCCTGCCCAGCACGCATGCTGACGTGCACATCTGTTGACAGCACCCATCTGTGCCTGCCTCTGCCGTCTCTATGGTTGGGGGGCCAGGGTCAGGCACCTGAGGCCTGCTGTGGTAGGCGCCAGCAGCTGGGGCAGGCGCTGGGTAAGCAGGGGCTGCAGAGCCTCCCGTAGGCGGCAGTAGTTCCGCTCCAGTTCACGGTGGTACTCCTTCTGGTCTGGTCCTATCAGGGCCTTGTTCTTCCGCAGGGCGTCCTCACACCTGAGACACACAGACCGCAGGAGATGCTCAAGTGCTAGCAGTGAGGAGAAAGCAAGACTGGCAGGGGGAGGGGGGCGCAGTCCATGGGTGGGGGTCAGGAGCTATAATGGGAGTCAGCTAGGTAGAGGAGAGCGAATGAGAACCAGAGAGGCGGGAGCTCCATAATGGACTCTGTATCCCAATGAATACAGAGAGGCTGTTCGGGGTCAGGAGGGCAGGGAGCCCATAATGGGGGCTTGGAGGTGTCAGGCCTACTTCTTGCAGAAGTCCTTGAAACAGAGCCGCAGCTTGTTATGATGCCTGAAGAGTTTGGGGTCTTCTGGGATCTCTGCCAAAAAAACCTGGGCCACCTCCAGGGGACCCTGCAGGGTGAGAGGGGCTCATAAGGGTGTCTGCATGGTGCCTGAGGATGCCTCAGTCGGGAGCCTGCATGCCCCACTGGCTGTACCTGGTTCACCGTGGGCCCCACAGAGCCCTGCAGCACCATCTGCAGCATCTTGGCGTCGGGTGGGTCCTGCTCAGTGGCGAAAGCCAGCTCCCTTGTCTTCTTCTGCATGTCCTCAATGGCCACTTCCACTGGTGTCAGCACTGTCTGTGGGGTGGGAGGTTGTCAAGTACTGGCTGGGGCCTGAAGATGTCCTGACCCAAGCCAGCCCAGGGCAGCTTGGACCCCTGCTGAGGGGACAGAGGGGTTCCAGGAGGCTGTGTGATGAACAAGGTGTGGGGCCTTCTGCCCGCCTGGCTCTGGCAGAGTGGGGATCTGGTTTCAGTTGCCTATGTCTGGCCCTGGGGACTTTGGTCTGGTTGGGGTCCAGCCTCAGGTTGGCTAGGTCTGGAAGTAGAGGTTTGAGTCTGAAGACTGGTGTCTGGGGGTTGGAGTTTGGGGTCTTCTCACCTCCCCAATCTGGGTCTGGGGCACCTGGACCTCCCTTGGATCTTGGGTCTCTGCATCTCCCCTCCCTGGGCCCCTGCCCACCTCCTCCCGGTGGCACACGCGGATTCGAGTCTTGATGTAGGGGAAGGCGTGGTCTGTGCTGAGCAGCGTCTTGCGCTTGTGCTGCTCTGGGAGCTCCCCGTGTGCACGCCCATCAGGTGTGAAGGGCGTGCAGAACAAGAAGGTGCGCAGCCCATAATTGCGGTCGAAGTAGGTCACCCGGTCCTTGAGCTCATACGTATCGAAGTGCGGTTCCACGTAAGTGATCTGGATGTAGGCCTGGGACACGGGGCTCAGGTATGAGGCTCCCACAGCCCCAGTACACACCCTTGGGGCTTGCCAGCCTCCCTGCAGGGCTATCCCTGGGGAAAGGGGATTTGGACTTCCTTGGGTCTGGGAGCTTTAAATCTGGGATTCTCCCTAAATCTAGTTTTAAGAACCTCCCCCAGGAAAAGGACTTGGGGCCCCAAGGGAGATAAGCTTTGAAGTTTGCCAGGGAATTAGGATTTGAGGGTCCCCAGGAAATTATACTTTGAGTCTCCCCAAATATAGGATCTGGGGGTCCCCTGGGATGGTCAGGAGCCCCTACCTTCTGTGGGTCGAGCTTGGTCTTGTCCACAGGGTTCGAATCTTTGACAATCTCGACCACGTCCTCCCCAAACCTCTCCGTGTAGAACTCCTGGGGACATGGGGCTGACTCGGGGCCACAGAGGAGCAGCCCCCACTCCGCCCCAGGGCAGCCCAATGCCCATCTACCCCCCTACCGCTGGGACGTGCCTCCAGCCGGTGTGAAATCTCAGCCAGCTTTGTGATGGATGGCTCCTTATACACAAACTCCTGCTCATCCAGGTCACCAAAGCGGGCACCATAGAAGCCCACGCGGAAGTACGTCCCAAACACGCGCTACATCTGCAAGAAGGGGAGCTGTGGCCCAGGCAGCCCCTCTGGAGGTCCCCTTGCCCTAGGGATGCATGTCCCCTAGCCCCACGTACAGAACAGGTGGGCAGGAGGAGGGGAACCCCAAGAACATTAGGTCATAGACACAACTGGGGGGACCCTGAGATCC